CTGGGAAAGCGAATTAGTGGCCTCTTCTCTAATGTTACATGCTGTTGGTTTGTTACCTGGAGATTCTCATCCATACATCAAAAACTGAACAAGGATGGTGGGAGTGGCAGCAGGCTGACAGCTTGCCTAAAAGACAAAATTACAGAGCTCACAGACTTATTTAAACGGTCTTCCACCCAATTGCATTTGCCTTTTTTACTCCAGCTAAAGTGCAAGCATCTCTCAAGGATCCTGAGCCACCTCCCAACCCCCAGTCTGGTCATTGCTGGTGAACAAGTCTTAGTAAGCCCAATTTCCTTAAGACACAGCAAAAAGGTGAGTGAAGCATTGTATTGCTACAGCATACTGAATCACGGCAGGAAATGTTGTTAATCCAACCACTTGCTTAAAGTGTTACTAAACCCAGGACCCTGAATTCACTATATCTGGTCTCCCATAGTACACACTATATGGAGATGCAATTTTTTAGTAAATATAAACTGATAAATACCCTTTTTCATCATCAGTTAGAGCAGTCTTGTGACTTCTATCAGTGTTCAGCAGAGCACCAGTTAAAGCTTGTAGGAGAAGTTTTCTTTCTGCTCTAGGAGGATGCAAAACCCCTGACCTCTGTCTGGATAGTGCTCATTTGCCCTGTGCTGATCACATGCACTCTCCCAAGCAAAAAGAAAATCTCTCTAGCAATACACACCAAAGTGAGCATGTGCAGAGTGATTCCGCACAAAATGTCTTATCAGGAGATGAGAGGGGGACACTGGAAGAAGAGTAGGATCAGAGAAGTCCGGATCAAACAACCTTTTTACACAGTGCAGTGGATTAACCCCTTAGGTTCCACAGTGAGTATAACAAGCACACTTTACTGCATATACTGACTGATTTTACTGTTGTGGGTTTAGTAAAACTTTAACTTTTCAATATTAGAATTTCCATTGTCAGTCTGATTTCAAACTGACTCTAAAAACAGATATCAGTTATTACATCAGCAGAATTTAGAGAACTTGGGATAATAGTAAATGGTTTCAACTAATATGCATCAGGGGGCTGACAGTATATGCTTTCAGCACATACCTTTTCCTTCTGAAAACTTTGTCTTCACTACTTTGACAGGGAGAATAACTGCTATCATCCCACCATGCAAAGCTCAATGTCTAGGAAGCTGATCAGTGGGCATTATCATCTTCATATGAGGGGAGTGCCTACATTTACAGTATGTTAATAGAAACTTTGAGAAAGTCAGTATTTACATGGGTTCCTTAAGAGGGTGCCTGAGGTAACAGGATTATAGATCATAAAAGTGAAAAGTCAAGATATAGGCTGACAACTTATTCTGTCACTTATCTTCAGCATGTTAGTTTAATTCATTTGGGTTCTTACTGGTTCATTTTAAACATACATTTAATGACATTCAAATAAATATGTAACTGGGCTAAGCACAGTTTAAATATATATGCTTGGAGTTCTGCTTTAAGGACAATTTCCATGTAACAATGAAAAGACCTTCTTTCTCTTTTTAACACAATGATGGGTGTCACAGATATCGGACAGGCTATTGATACAGGCAATCACAACTCAAAAACAGAAGTGAAGGTCTGAAGCATGAAATACAATGAATTGCCTCTGTTTCAGTGGGCAATGTAGCTCAAACCAACTGAGATTGGGTTAAAGAAAAAAAAAAAAACAAAAAACTTCTATTTGGGGGGCAAACTAGACACTTCCATTTAACATCTACCCTCTCCCTGCCCCTGTCAAGTTTAAAATGGTCTCTTATCACATTCCATTTAATCCATTATACAAAAATTTACAACCTATTCCATCAAGCTGTCAGGTCCAAAAAAACTTCTAACTTTAATAATTTATTGGTTTAATGCCAAAGCCTTTAGTGGGAAATGAGGCTATTACTTTGGACTGTTGAATGACAATTGTGCAGCATGGCTTCAGGAAGGGCAATGGCTTAGTGCTGACTGGTATAGAAACTCAGGTGACAAAACAAAGAGCGGCACCATCAATGACAGTAAATACATTCCTAACCATACAGACCACCTATGTAACATTAGACATAGCATTTAGAAGTCCAAGATCCTTCATCCAATATTGATACTTACTTTTAGCTCCATTACTCTGTAAAATTGTGCAAAGAGCAACAATAATGTATGGCAACACCTTAAAAATGTTCTCTGTAATGATCCACTATAATAAGCTTTGATTGGTTGTTATTGGTTAACGCGCTTTCATATCACATCTCTTTGCACTGTCTTACTGAATAAACCACAATCATGTTATAGTTAATAACTTATCCCATCATAGTAAGAACCCAATCAAATCATGCATAACTAAGGAGGATCATGGCACCAACACATCCCTACTTAAGAAAACGGCCACTTACGCCATCCAGGCATGTCATGGTTATAAACCCTAGACACAGCCACTGAGCTGAAGCTATAGACTTGACAACTGTAGAACATTTAACATTTCAAAGTTGCACTAATTGCAAAAGACCATTCAATAGACTACCTGTGTCTTTGGCTTTCAAGCATAATTCCATTCCAGTGCTACATAGCAATATCAGATAGAAAACTGCCCCAAAGAGATTAAGAGCTTAGTTTCATAATTCACTGCAAAGAACAATGGTGACTAGCAATCCATAGCAACCAATCATAAACAGCTTTTACAAATTACATTTCACTGAGCTGTGAAGAGATGATCTTTAAAGGTAGCCTTCATTAAAGCCTAAAAATGAAACCTTGACATGCATTTCAACCTAAATCACCACCATGGTTTGTTTCTTCATCCAGGCATAGTACTTCTATAAAGCTAGATCACTGATTTGAAACTGCCTTGTTGCCAGTAATCTGTTGTTGTGGGACCACCTATTGCTATGACATTTGAATACGCAGGGCAAGAAATCTCAGTTTTACCCACAAAAAAACTGCACTACCTCTAAAACATAAAAAAGAGAAGTTGTCCAGTACTTAATCACACAACCTGAGGAAGTACACCCACCAAGAAGCACATGTGAGGAGCTCCCTGGAATGTAGCAGCATTAGATCAGTTGACAATTAAATTAAGGTAAATTAAGTTGACCTTCTGACATTAGGATAATTACATGTTCCTGAACAGGATTAGGAGTTCAATGATTCATTTCTCTCCTTGCCTTGCCTCATTTGACTTACATATGGGTGCTCTTTGCTGACTAAAGAGATATATATAGCAAATCTAACTTTACTATACTACCTTTTTCTTTTTTTCAATACACATCTCTTAGTGGTGAGTGGTAGAGTGAATTTGTCATTTCAATTGTTGATGTCTGAAACGGAGCTACCATTTTTTATGGCCATCCATTTGCAGCCACAACATCTTGCCATGTCATATTTTAAAGCATAACTTCACTCTTTTATACAGCTTAACCTCCCTGTATTCACCTCCTGCCCATGAAATAAATGTTTTTTTCTGCTTGTTCACCTTTTTGTTTTCTATTTTTTACTCTGGCCCTGTGGACATTTCTTTGTCTCCGCTGCCTCCTAGGATACCATGTCAAATATCCCAGGAGACTGCAAGATAAGGGACACACAGCAGCTGGTGACCCATGTATCGCCAGGGGATGGTAGCACTGGAAGAGGCAGCACACTCCTTAAACTTACTATCCAATAAATAGAATGATTCAGTAATGGGAATTGTTCTCTCATTGTGAAGGTTTTAGAGACAAAGAAAGGATAGGTGTGTGGTGTTTACACTCTACTAAGAGGTGTATATTATTTATATCTATTGTTTGCACATGGGAAACAGACCAGTTTGCTTTATTGGCACTTTTAACCCCATTATACAAAAAAGCAACATAAAGTAGCAAGCTTGTTCAATAAGAAAGTGCAATGAGTAAGAATAATGTGCAAAGAATGGTAAACCACAGCAACCAATTACGTTTCAATTTTCTGTAGCTGCATCTGTTCAGAGGAATAATGATTGGTTACTATGGTTTGTGACACTTTTCACATCATCATTTCTATCTGCACTACTTTACTGCATAAGCCACGTGATCGTAATAACAATTTTATGGATTGAACCAGTGTGTAACATATCACTAAGCTCCTTCATTACACATATATTTATGAGTGGCTGAAATGAAAAACACACATTCTTCCATATGATGCCCAAATTGACTCATGAATTGACAGTTATCCATTTTAAAATATTGATTCAGTCATAAAACGACTTTGACTGTGCAGCACAGTACCATAGAACATAGTCATATAAGCCTTGTCGGCTGAAAACCAGAGTGCTCATGGGATTAACCTTGTCAACCAATGGAAAATGACATATCACTCTGCTATGTAAGAAAACAAATGCCACAAGCCTTGTAGGCAAACCACTTTGGTACAAAAGGCAGACTACATCCTCTCTGTACCCCATGTTCTGGGAGATGTAACCTTCATTTTTATGGCTCCTTTGCATCAAGGTGTACCTTCCTCTGCAGAGTGGTTGCTCTTACATGCAAAACTGTACTGTAAGTAAATCGACCCTGTGCTGAAAACAGGGGTATAAGACTATCAGAGTAAATGGATGGTAAGGTCTACACAAACCGACGGACCAGTCAACATTGCTGCATATTTGGAAATGCAGAGTGATTTTTTTGTTTTTTGTTTCTTTAAATATAAAGCAAAAATAGCCAGATGTTAAATTATTTTGTTCCCTATGAAAGTACAACCCATCTATGGAAAATTTCTGTAGGGTATCAACGTGCGGACGTGCAGCACCAATTTCCAACGTGCCGAGTTGAATGTTGTAGTCCTGTTCCTACTTACAAAACAAAGGAAAAAAAAAAAAAAAGTTTAAGGAATCCGTAAGGGCAGGTAGAAGACACGAGTAGGTGCATCATGGTGGGTTCATGTCACCCCACGACAGTAGCTGGTTAGCTTGTTAATCCTGCTGTGTGAGGGGATGAGGTTTACTGATTCTGCTGAGTTCTGTGTTCTAATGCAGAGGCTACAGCTTTGTGTCCACCGTAGCTAGCGGCTGCTGTTCTTAATGGCTTCCTTTGCTGCTATTATCAGTGGAGTCAGGCTAGAAAGAGGCTTGGCTAGTTTTAAAAATGGATGCTGCAAGACAAAACACAAAACCACTGGACATCAGCATAACATCCTGTTAGTGAATACATTCAAAATTACTTGAATTTTTCTTCATAGAGAATGCATTCGCATCTACAGTCAGGTCCATAAATATTGGGACAACGACACAATTCTAACATTTTTGGCTCTATACACCACCACAATGGATTTGAAATGAAACGAACAAGATGTGCTTTAACTGCAGACTGTCAGCTTTAATTTGAGGGTATTTACATCCAAATCAGGTGAACGGTGTAGGAATTACAACAGTTTGCATATGTGCCTCCCACTTGTTAAGGGACCAAAAGTAATGGGACAGAATAATAATCATAAATCAAACTTTCACTTTTTAATACTTAGTTGCAAATCCTTTGCAGTCAATTACAGCCTGAAGTCTGGAACGCATAGACATCACCAGACGCTGGGTTTCATCCCTGGTGATGCTCTGCCAGGCCTCTACTGCAACTGTCTTCAGTTCCTGCTTGTTCTTGGGGCATTTTCCCTTCAGTTTTGTCTTCAGCAAGTGAAATGCATGCTCAAAGCGGATTCAGGTCAGGTGACTGACATGGCCATTGCATAACATTCCACTTCTTTCCCTTAAAAAACTCTGGTTGCTTTTGCAGTATGCTTTGGGTCATTGTCCATCTGCACTGTGAAGCGGCGTCCAATGAGTTCTGAAGCATTTGACTGAATATGAGCAGATAATATTGCCCGAAACACTTCAGAATTCATCCTGCTGCTTTTGTCAGCAGTCACATCATCAATAAATACAAGAAACCAGTTCCATTGGCAGCCATACATGCCCACGCCATGACACTACCACCACCATGCTTCACTGATGAGGTGGTATGCTTAGGATCATGAGCAGTTCCTTTCCTTCTCCATACTCTTCTCTTTCCATCACTCTGGTACAAGTTGATCTTGGTCTCATCTGTCCACAGGATGTTGTTCCAGAACTGTGAAGGCTTTTTTAGATGTCGTTTGGCAAACTCTAATCTGGCCTTCCTGTTTTTGAGGCTCACCAATGGTTTACATCTTGTGGTGAACCCTCTGTATTCACTCTGGTGAAGTCTTCTCTTGATTGTTGACTTTGACACACATACACCTACCTCCTGGAGAGTGTTCTTGATCTGGCCAACTGTTGTGAAGGGTGTTTTCTTCACCAGGGAAAGAATTCTTCGGTCATCCACCACAGTTGTTTTCCGTGGTCTTCCGGGTCTTTTTTTTGGTGTTGCTGAGCTCACCGGTGCGTTCCTTCTTTTTAAGAATGTTCCAAACAGTTGTTTTGGCCACGCCTAATGTTTTTGCTATCTCTCTGATGGGTTTGTTTTGTTTTTTCAGCCTAATGATGGCTTGCTTCACTGATAGGGACAGCTCTTTGGATCTCATCTTGAGAGTTGACAGCAACAGATTCCAAATGCAAATAGCACACTTGAAATGAACTCTGGACCTTTTATCTGCTCATTGTAATTGGGATAATGAGGGAATAACATACCTGGCCATGGAACAGCTGAGAAGCCAATTGTCCCATTACTTTTGGTCCCTTAACAAGTGGGAGGCACATATGCAAACTGTTGTAATTCCTACACCGTTCACCTAATTTGGATGTAAATACCCTCAAATTAAAGTTGACAGTCTGCAGTTAAAGCACATCTTGTTCGTTTCATTTCAAATCCATTGTGGTGGTGTCTAGAGCCAAAAATGTTAGAATGTGTCGTGTCCCAATATTATGGACCTGACTGTATATGTGATGGAGAGTGCGTTATAACATGCATTTTCATGCACTAATGCTTGCTGCTCATATGAATTGTGTACATGATTAAACAATCCTCCCAGATAGCCCTCAATTAATAGAACACCCGCACAGACTCTAATGCAACACAAAGAAACTTGTGCTGCGAGAACAAAAAGCACATGTGGATTTTGTGGCACAATGAAAGCCCATAGGAAATAGATTGGTGCACACAAAAAAGGTACACAAGCACCAAAGTGCGTTGATTCATGAAGACAGCTGTAACGCTGTGAAACTTTTTTTTAATTACACCAGATTTGCCAATATGTATTTAGCCAACACTGTTTTTAAGAGAAACATTTTTGTTTAGGTAAAGGATTTTACACTGCTATTTTTCACTCTGTGTTTATCATATATTTATCATTTTTACTAGGAGTAAGAAAAACATTTACTTTACAATAAAAAAAAATAAAAATGTAATACCGGACATCCATGACATGGAGTCACAGAGTGAGAAAGCACTCCAGTAGTCGTTTGCCTTTAGACTGTGACTATATAATTGAAATTCTGCATATAGCGAGCAAAGTGAAAGTGGGGGGTGAGTTACTATTCTGACTCATTAAGTTTGAGGTATTTAGAGCTACAGACTAAGCAGTGAAATGTGTTGTATTGATATATAAAATAATAAGTTCCAATGACTGCACTGTAATGGACATTGTTAGATGCCTCTATATGGGCCATCCATGGCCATGCACATCTCATACTGTTTATTATTCATGTAATTACTACTACAAAAGGCACTTAGTCTGTCATTATTCCACAGCATTGGGATAGGTGTTTTGGAGACATCAGACTATCATAGCAATTTAGAATTGACCAGCTTCACTTACATGGCTATTGCTTGACTCTGGGGTAGAGCACTCAATAGTGGTTTTTCTGTGTGGGTTTTCATCTTGTGTTGGTATAGTTAAGTGTTTTAACATGTAAAGTTTTGTAAAACAGATAGGGTATACCTAGTGAATCCTAAATAACTTGCTGTTACATTTTAGGTATTGTTACCTACTTGAAAATAACCTGCTCTAATGCAACTAAGCTATAGTGCCTTGAAAAAGTATTCATATCCCTTGACATTTTCCACATTTTGTCATTTTACAATCAAAAACATAAATGTATTTTATTGGGATTTTATGTGATAGACTAATGCAGGCCATAGATGGGGAAAAAAAACGGCCGATTTTTCGTCCGAAAATAAAACCGTCCGATTATCTTATCGTTATTGGACGATTTTGTCGGCCGTTTTTCGTGTATTTTGGACTTTCAGATTATCGGTGATGTTGGAAAATTTTCGAAAAACGCCCGACTTTATCCTCATTCATGGTCAAAAACGAACGATCGTTTTCCGAAAAAGGATCACAAAGGCCACAAAATGACATCATTTCCCGTTATAGGTTACTCATTAATCGGCCGATTTTCGTAATAATTGGTGGTCAGGTAAGTTTTTTAGACCGACCGATAGTTCGTTAATCGGCCGAAAATCTGCCGTTTTTCTCCCCATCTATGGCCTGCATAACACAAGGTGGCACACAATTGTGAAGTGGAAGGAAATTTTCAAATTTGTTCACAAATAAATATCTGAAAAGTGTGGCGTGCATTTGTATTCAGCTCCCTTTACTCTGATACCCCTAACTAAAATCTAGGGGAACCAATTGCTGTCAGAAGTCACCTAATTAGTAAACCACCTGTATGTAATTTAATCTCAGTATAAATACAGCTGTTCCATGAAACCCTCAGAGGTTTGTTAGGGAACATTAGTGAACAAACACCATCATGAAGGCCTAGGAACACACCAGACAGATCAGAGAGAAGTTTAAAGCAGGGTTTGGTTATAAAAAAATATCCCAAGCTTTGAACATCTCATGAAGCACTGTTCAATCCTTCATCCAAATATGGATGACACAACTACAAACCTACCAAGACATGGCCGTCCACCTAAACTGACAGGCCGGGCAAGGAGAGCAATAATCAGAGAAGCAGCCAAGAGGCCCATGGTAACTCTGGAGGAGCTGCAGAGATCCACAGCTCAGGTGGGAAAATCTGTCCACAGGACAACTATTAGTCGTGTACTCCATAAATCTGGCCTTTATGGAAGAGTGGCAAGAAGAAAGCCATTGTTGAAAGAAAGCCATAAGAAGTCCCGCTTGGAAGAAGCCATGTGGGGGACACAGCAAACATGTCGACGAAGGTGCTCTGGTCAGATCAGACCAAAATGGAACTTTTTGGCCTAAAAGCAAAATGCTGTGTGGCGGAACACTGCACATCACCCTGAACACACCATTCCCACCGTGAAACATGGAGATGGCAGCATCATGTTGTGGGCATGCTTTTCTTCAGCAGGGACAGGGAATCTGGTCAGAGTTGATGGGAAGATGGATGGAGCCAAATACAGGGCAATCTTAGAAGAAAACCTGTTAGAGTCTGCAAAAGACTTGAGACTGGGGTGGAGGTTCACCTTTCAGCAGGACAACGACCATAAACATACAGCCAGAGCTCCAATGGAATGGTTTAGATCAAAGCATATTCATGTGTTATACTGGCCTAGTCAAAGCCCAGACCTAAATCCAATTGAGAATCTGTAGCAAGATTTGAAAATTGCTGTTCACAGATGCTCTTCATCCAATCTGACAGAGCTTAAGCTATTTTGCAAAGAAGAATGAGCAAAAATGTCACTCTCTATATGTGCAAAGCTGGTAGAGACATCCTCAAAAAGACTTGCACCTGTAATTGCAGCAAAAGGTGATTCTACAAAAACTATTGACTCAGGGGGGCTGAATACAAATGCATGCCACACTTTTCACATATTTGTAAAATATTTTGAATATCATTTATCATTTTCCCTCCACTTTGAAATTATGTTCCACTTTGTGTTGGTCTATCACATAAAATCCCAATAAAATACATTTACGTTTTTGATTGTAAAATGTCAAAATGTGGAAAATTTCAAGGGGTATGAATACTTTTTCAAGGCACTGTAAATGTTTCTTTAATATGTTGATGCTGCTGTGCTGATGGTAAAGGTATATACAAATACCCATACATACACACATAATATACTGACCTGTAGAAGCTCCTTGGCAGAGCCTCTCCTGTCCACATCCATCTCTAGGCATCGATTTAGGAAGTCTCTGAACACAGATGACAGCCTTTCTGGGTTCTGTAACTCTGGGGTTCCATTCGTAGCTATCAGATACAGTGCCTTTACAACACACAGAAACAAATACCAGTAAAATGTTTTTGTCTGGCAGACAACTCAGATTTCAATGATTATAGAGAAATCTATTCAACAATGGCAATTTGTTGTGTGGTGGACTCTTACCCTTAAAGTAGATACAAACTGAACAACATGTAGTTTAACCACTTCCCATCCATCCTATAGCAGAAATACTGCTACAAGCCTGCATCAGTGGACAGAATCATGCATATATATATATATGTGATTTTGCACTTCCAGGTAGGGGGCACACGCGAGGCGTGTGCGTGCCCTACCCACACTGCCATTTGTGGCTGTCTATCACCGGGTCCCGGTCGGTGATTACTCGCTGGTGCCTGGTGATTGCCGAGGATCTCTGACAGGGAGGAGAACTGTGTGTAAACAAAACAGTTCTCCCTGTCAGCTCGTACACACTGCTTTACATGGCTGTGCACAGCACAGCCATACAAACAGTGTGCTTACAGTGAAGCACAAACACATGGCCCCATAGTAAAACACACCCAGCACACAGTTAACCCTTTGATCGCCCCTCATGTTAACCCCTTTCTGCCCAGTGGAATTAGTACAGTGTCAGTGTTTTTTTTTTTAGTACTGATCACTGTATTTGTGTCACTGGGGATGCCAGTGACACCAAGTCAGTTCCCCCCCAGTGTCAGAATGCCCACCGCAGTCCCGCTATAAGTCGCTGATCGCCGCCATTAGTAGTAAAAATAAAAAATAAGAAAAAAAATTGGGATTTATTTTAGCAAAGACATGTAGTAGAATACATTTTGGCCGAAATTTATGATGAAATTTGATTTTTAAAATTTTTTTACTGGACATGTTTATCAGCAAAAGCCAAAAATATAGGTTTTTTCTCAAAATTGTCGGTCTTTTTTTTATAGCACAAAAAATAAAAAAACGCACAGGTAATCAAATACCACCAAAAGAAAGCTCTATTCATGGGAAAAAAAGAATGTAAATTTCATTTGGTGCAGCGTTGCATGACCGCGCAATTGTCAGTTAAAGCAACACAGCGCCGTGACGCAAAAAATGGCCTGGTCAGGAAGGAGGGTAAATCCTCAGGAAAGCAAGCGGTTAATAAAGTATTGTGTATCATAAACTAATGCCATTATTTTTAATAAAGTACATTTTGTTACATCTCAGTGCTGCAGGTCTTCTGCAGCATTTTCCTGTCTACATGCATGCACTTCAGCAATGTCTGCACGGCATTCCTCAAGGTATGCTGTTTGATGGTAACATCAGTGGACCATGTCTATGTAGCGTATATTAAGCAGCCACTAGCAGCCTCCATCAGAAGCTCGTGTGATATGGTAATGGGGGAGCACAACTGCGAAACAGGAATACAGCATTATTACTTTATATCAGGAGGTGCCTTTACAAGAGCTATAATGGCAGGATCATTATGTGTTATTTTAGTGAAAACTGCCAATTTAAAAATATTGAAATTAGCTCTTTAAAGTGATTGAAAAGGTTAAAATGTTATTTTTTTGAAAATAACTAGCATGTTATACGTACCTGCTCTGTACAATGGTTTTGCACAGAGCAGCCCTGATCCTCCTCTCCTTGGGTCCCCACTGGTGCAGCTGGCCCCTCCCCCCTGCTGAGTGCCCACCATAGCAAGCCGCTATGTTCTACTCAGCCCTACCCCATCCTCACTGGCTGTGATTGACAGCAGCAGGAGCCAATGGCTTCTGCTGCTGGGTCCGAGGCAATAATCAAGCTCAGGTAAGTATAGGGGAGGGCTGGGGGGAGTTGCATGCAGAAGGTTTTTTTACCTTAAAGCAGAGAATGCATTAAGGTAAAACACTTTCTGACTTTACAACCACTTTAATCTACTTTAACATGTTAAAGCTTATATAAAATTTTAGAATGAAATCCAAAAAATTATTGTGCTCAGTGTGAATAAAATGAAAATATAGCACTCAAAGCAAATGGATACAAAACTGGAATTAAATTTAAAATACAATAGGTGTGCTATCTCATTAAATGTAGAATTTTAAAAACAATGGTGAATAAAAAAATATCAAAAACTCACTGAATGGACAAAGTTGCTTCAGCACAGCACTTCAATCCAGTAATCACTTCAGTATTTCCACATCACCATGTGCACAAGCTCCTTACTAAATGGAAATGAACTCTATGTTATGGCATAACCACTTGCCCTCCGGAAGATTTACCCTCTTTCATGACTAGTCCATTTTTTGCTATAAAACGCTGCGTTACTTTAACTGACAATTGCACAATCATGATCTGGGTTTTTAATTTTTCTGCGCTATAAAACAAAAAAAGAACAAGAAAAAATGTAAATCTTATTTCTTCATAAAATTTAGGCCAATATGTATTCTGCTACACATTTTTGGTAAAAAAAAAAAATCCCAATACGCATATATTGATTAGTTTGTGCAAAAACTATAGTATCTACAAAGTATGGTATATATACACTGGAATTTTTTCTTTTGTATACTAGTGCTGGTGGCAATCAGTGACTTATAGCGAGGAAAAAAATCCAGCAGATTGCTACTGAGAGGACACAGCTCTGCCTTGTTTACCTCATCAATTGGCTGGCACTCATTGATCGGCCTCTGTTATGACTAATCACAGCAGACACGGCGCGCCCCTACACCAGGAAGTGCAAAACCGCATATATATATATATATATATATATATATATATATATATGTGTGTGTGTGTGTGATTTTGCACAGAACGGCCATCCTGTAGCAGTACATCTGCTACAGGGCGGTCGGCAAGTGGATAAAGAGGGAACCAACAAAGGCCACAGCTTGTAACACTGCTTTAATAAAATGTATTTATAGAGAGGTACACACAATGTGAAGTTTAGGAGACAAGCATGTAAGTGCCATGGTGCTCAAGTTGGAGGGCATGATGGTATCTGAGTTAGGTTCCGCCCGATGCATTTCCTTACAGGACAATGCTGTCAGGGCACAGGATCTGGGATCAAGGAACATTGTGGGTACCTCTCTATAAATAAATGTTAATTCTTTTAAACAATGTTTTTGTTACCCTCTTTACACTGGTTGATCTGAGGCTGCATCTGGGAATATTGTGAGCTTTCCTGTGGAATAGTGCTGACTGAGTTTGCCAAACAAGCTGCGACTTTTATTAGCATAAATGCTGCAGACCTCTTATAACATAGAGGTCATCTCCATTCGGTAAACAGCAATTGGTCACACCACAATGTGCTGAAAGAGCTTTTTGCATTCGCTGACTTTTTGATTTTTTTAATTCACCATTGTTTTAAAGGGATAGCACACTTATATTTTATATGAAATTTTAGTGATGTTTTATGAGCGGTTAGATTTCAGCCTTTAGCCGAGGTTAGAGGAACTTAATTACTGCAGCTAAATGCAGACAATGCATCCATATGGCTCCATTCACACACTGCATTTAGCAACATTTTCATAACACATGGTTTAGGAAAAAATAAAGTTGGCAGCATACAGGAGCGATGTACCGCAGTTATCTGTACATAAACACAGTTAATTGCAGTACAAAGAAAAAATAAGTAAACAGTTGCTATAGAAAACGCAAGAATTTACTACTGCAGCCAAACTCAGCTGCATGTAAACTAACGTAATCGCTGATAAACGCAATGTACAAAAGCAAGTGATCTTTGTGCCAGGAGTATTGGCATTTCAAAATAAAAAAAACATGCATTTAAAAGTGGCAGAACAACCACCCATGTGAGAGAGGCCTAATAAAAGGAGGACAATCAGACCAATCTGAAGAGAAGTTAAAAATTAAGCCACAAATTTAGTACCACAGCATACACATGCGATTTTCTATTCCCATCACTTACTCTGAGAGGGTTCTCGTTAAGGTAAGGTGGTTCTCCTTCAACCATTTCAATGGCCATGATGCCTAAAGACCAAATATCAACTTTGGGGCCATAGGCCTTTCTTGTTACCACTTCTGGTGCCATCCAGTAAGGTGTTCCCACCATTGTACTCCGTTTACTCTGCTCAGGTGTGATCTGAGCACAAAAACCAAAGTCCGCTGAAAAAGTATGAAAAAACATTCATGAAATAGGAGTTTTTTTTATAATCAGAATTTATATCTCTGTGCAGCTGTCCCTCTTACAGTCTATGAATGTAGTTGAAAAATTAGATCTGTTCTTGAAAACAACAGGTATGACAGCATAACAATGAAAAATAAATAAATAAATCAAACATTACTAAAGAATAGTTATTTATGTGGAGTTTGAGCCTAAATAGATATGGGCACATGAAACTGTTGTACTCACTAAGTTTTACTGATCCATCCATCCCAAGCAGGATGTTGTCACTTTTAATATCTCTGTGTATCACTTGGTTTGAATGCAAGAAGTCCAGGGCTTGTAGGCACTAAAACAAGGATATAATGAAGTAAAAAACAAAACAAAAACCATTACAACAAACCCTTATTTTAGATTCAAATTGTGTAATGCAATTTGTTATCCTGGGGAAAGCCACCTGAAAAGGTCTGAAAAGCTTATTCAATCTCTGTTGTCCCACCACCCCATTCCAGAGGTAAGAAGTGCTGGAAGTTGTATGTTCTCTTTTGCCTCCTTCCATTCAGTTGCACATTCACACTTGGGTGAGCCAAGCTTACAGGATTCAGGAACATTTATCTGGCAACCTTTACGGAAGTTGACTTAGATTTTATATTATTACAAAAAAAAACAAACGTTGCACCAAAGCCAAGAGAATAATTAAATCATTATTTACTGTAAATGATTATCAGAGAATCATTAAGTGTGTAAGGAGCAGCCCATACATCAAATATGAGTTGTTTACTAGCATAAAGTTTCAGATTACACTAATGCATAGAGAAATTTGCTAATCGGAGCAGCTCCAAACAACAAGGAAAAGCTGTCTTGTGCTTAGCATTTACTAAGTGTTTTAAGCTGGATATGTCCGCATTAATGTTTGCAATCTTATACTGTATGAGGAGGTGTGGGTTCATAATGAAGATGAGTTACATGACCCTGTATGACCCCCACGTTTGACATGCACTGTAGTGAATACATCAAAGCTATATCAGTACAACCATATCACCAACACAGGTCTGCAATGCTTAGATGTTTTAATCAACTAGAACTGTATTCACTGTATATTTATATATATATCATAAGCCCCACAAGGTACCATCACCCTGCCTAATTTGAGACATTTGTAAAAAGTAAAAGCACCTTTGTGGTTAAAACCAAACATAAGTTGCACCTCATACTGGGATTATGCAGTGCTTAATTTAAATATAACACATGCCTTGATGGAAGTGCCTGAAAGTATGTAAAAAAGGAAATGTGCCACAAGGAAGAAGAGAGCTGGCTGTTTTTTTTCAGTTTTGTATGAAACGGGGAACCCTAGAATCCCTTTAGATGTGCATACTTTATGAATAAAAAAAAACTTGTTTCCAGTGTGTCACCAGAGACCCAGTAGTACCCCCATTGGAAGGCAATTGCAGCTGTCTTGCCTCTCGTAAAGCATAGATGAATGTAAAGCCAGGCCATCAATTACAGCCTTATTCTGGGTTTATGCTAACCTGACATGGATCTAAATTCAGCTGGTTCAGCAGGGACCGGACAAATTATGATCCATGTGTGGCCACTGCAGTTGAACAGAAGTCGATTTACTGATTGACTTCTGTTTAATTGCCTTGTCGCTCTATTTTTGCTAGATCAGCACCACAGGCAATAGGCTGAAGCCTGATCAGTGTATTCTGATGGCAGGGAAGTCTCCCTGCTGTCAGAATACAATGACACAGTGGGAAGGATTCCAGCATTCATATTGAATGTGTGGATGGGGGAATGAGGTCAGTTTTATTTGTTCAACCCATTGACTGAACAAAAAAAACTGACCCATGTGTGGCCAGCTTTAATGTCTAAGTCACCTTAGCCTTTCCTGTGACAATCATGTGTCACTGTTCTCTGCGGGGCAGCAAGCATATATTACCAATCAGGGGGAGTGGTTGAGGTGGAGAGGAGTGTTGACTTCTGACAAAAAGATAAAAGTTGCATATGTGTAACAGTGTTCTTTAGCTGCCTTCGTGTTTCGGGAAAAGAGGAAGTGATGGTGGAATAGCTGATGGAGCACATAATTCACTTTAAAACTATAAACTCACCTCTCGACAGACAGCGGCAATTTGTCCTTCATCCATACACGTTTCTGTTACAACATCAGTTAAAGATCCTCCAGCTAGGTACTCCATCACTACCCAGAGTTCATCCCCCACCAGATAACTGCAGGGCACAATAAAGTGTATAAAATTATTAACACAATGTAAATGACTAAAAAATTGGACTGAAAAAAAGAAACAAAACCATAAAATGCATCCATAATATGCTTAATACAGCCCTGTAACAAAAGTGTGTATGACTATTTTGCTCAACCCCTTAAATCAATATTAAGTTTTTGTAAAGCCATGGTTTTGCACAGAGCAGCTCCAAATCTCCACTTCTCAAGTTTCCCACAGGAAATCTTGGCTCCTTCCCCCCACTAAGTGCCCACCATAGCAAACCACTTTACCCCCCTTATTTTTTTGTGTCTTGTTATTTGCTAACCTATTGATTAGCATGACTCCCTCCTCGCCCTCTTGGGTTACATTTTCATGCTCGATTCTCAAACTGGCTACTAGCAAACTACTGGAGGGGAGAAACCCTGTATTGGCTACTTCTCATATGTTAACTGGATCCCTGCCCAGGTATAGGTTTGCCAACTTCAATGCTGCTTTGGATCCACCTATAGGCCACCGATAGCTGACTTGAATGTACCTACTATTCGACTTTTATTTTGTATCACATGTTGCTTTTCCTACTCCTGAGGTGGAGGTAGTTAACATTCTGTAGCTTAGTTTTGTTTTCTTTGTTGCATCCTGTCTCTGTAGGGTTGCAGGAAGGAAATTTGTACAATTCCTCCATCAACTCAGACAGTGCTGATAGGGGAATCCCTCCTGCCGGGACATTGTCTTATACCAGCGGGGGAGCGGGTGGGGGAAGTTGTCCCTGTCCGGAGAAGACAGTGATTATTGCTAGCGGCTATAGCAGCTGCTAGCGATAATCGCAAGTGAATTTGACAGGCGGGTTATATCCAAGTTGATCGATCAACCAACTTGGTACATTCAGCCTGCCCACACTCAGTTCAAATCTCGGCCGGTTCTTGCTGAACTGGCCAAGATTCAAACCATCTATGGCCAGCCTTAGACTGTAAAATTCCTACATGTACATTTTGCTGAGCCCTTATTTTGTACATTGTGTACGTTGCTCATTCTGTTCTATTATTTTTTTTTTTTTCAATAAACTTGTGAAAGAAAACTGAAAGTTATTATGCATCAAAAACTGCACTATTAATTTCACACACACATTCATACAGTTCATGTCAATGACTAGCATTTGGGGATTGGCAGTTGTCATACCAGATGCACTATTCTTCACGTTGTTAAGAAGACTTAAACAGGAAGAATGGTTTTTGCCCACTGTTTAAGGCATACATCTATTTTAAAAATAAATTAGGCAGTAAATATGCAGGCTGCTAGGTAAGTGGTTCTCTGTGGTCATCTGCTGGCCATAACTGTTTTCTGCTCCTAACAAATACCTTCAACGGAATTGATTTTTACCCAGTGGTCATTTGATCACACACAGCATCAGCCTGAATATGTTCAGCGATCAAAAAATAAAACCAAAGAAAATAGTCACAAAAGCCTTCATGCAGATACTGTATTCCTATTCTTCACAGTTAGCAGCCTCTCTCAACACTTTGGAGGAGTCTAAAATTATTTTAGGCCTGAAAACCCTTCATCATTTTTTTTATTTTTATATTTCAGCTCGAGGTACAATGTTTTTCAGTGACAAAAATATTTGTCATAATTTTCATCAGCTGCATGTTTTCAGCGAGAAAAACTATGATGAAAATCAATTCCAATTTAGCCAATGAACAAAAACTAAACGTAAATGTTAGGGAGGGATGTTTACCCACCTGAACTTCCACTTCCTCGGAGATCCACCTGTCTGCTAAAGCCCCATCCCCCTCAGCAAACTGTACTGGCTAAGAGACACAGGCTCTCTGCCTGCTGCCTGTGCCTGAGAGTTCTGGAACCATGCCCTGCAAACCACAGATGAGGAACTCCTTCATCGGCTTCGTGTCTGTCTGGATGTAATGTGGTGAGTGTTTCCCCTCCCAGCAAGGTAGCAGTGCTTAGCACTGTGTATAATAACAGCCCCTAGCTGTCCCCACTTGCAGCCTAAATCTGTGTCTGTAGTGCATGCTCAAACCTTAATACCATAAATGATAACATGTTATTAGATTTAGACTCCAGGAGTATATTAATTTTGAAATTCTACAGAAATCCTTAAATAATGCATTACAATTTACTAAACCCATTAGAGTTTAGTTGACTGAAATGTAGTGGAGATTTTAGCTGACTAAAATACGACTAAAACTAAAACAATTCAGATGACTCAAATATGACTAAAACTAAAATGGCATTTTAGTCAAAAGACTATGACTAAAACTAAATCAAAATGAACACTGCAAGGTGCATTAGTGTGACCACTAAGTAGCAGAAAGAAAACAATGAAGAATGTGGCACATATAGAGTATTTAACTCCTACAGCTGATCATTTTTTATTACCTTTATGCTATATGTGCCAAATTTGCACAAAATAATAATTATGAAATGAAACAAATTATAATACTAGAAAATACGAAGGCAATTAAATGTTACAAAACCCACAAAAGTAAAATCAGTCTGTACATCAAGTAATGCATGCTTGCTATACTAACTGTGGAACCTAAGGGGTTAATCCTCTGCATTGTGTAAAAAGGCGGTTTGATCCTGACTTCTTTGATCCTCCCTTTCTTCTAGCATCCCCCTCTTTTCTCCTGATCAGATATATCATGCGGAGTCACTCTGCACATGCCCAGTTTGGTGTGTATTGCTAGAATTTTTTTTATTCTTGGGAGAGTGCATGTGATCAGCACAGGGCCAATCAGCACTGTCCAAACATAGGTCAGGGGTTCTGCATCCTCCTAGAGCAAAATTTTAATTCCTCCTACAAACTTTAACATGTGCTCTGCTGGACACTGATAGAAGTCACAAGACTACTGATGAGAAAGGGTATTTAGCAGTTCACATTTACTAGAATAATTGCACTTCCATGTTTGTGTACTCTGGGAGACCAAAGTGTGAATGCAGGATCCGGGGTTTAGTAACACTTTAATATTGTAGGGTTTCCTTACACTAGTAGGCATTTCTCTAGTGACTATTAGTGTAAAGAAACACTGAAACATTCATTATCTGTGTTTATTTTCTGTCCAATATAATAATTCCTTTCATTTCAAAGATTGAAAAAAGTTTGTCATGTAGAGCAGGAGAATGTTATAAAATAATCCACTGTAGGAGGTAAATACTATGTATTGCCTTTTTAAAGTAGAACTATAGGCAAATCTTTTTTTTTTTTTCAATTATTTTAGATGGAGCAAGGGAGGGTTATAACCCCTGTCAGATTTTCTTTTCCCATCTGTATACCATTGCGGAGATTTCTCTTCACTTACTGTCAAACAGGAAATTAGAGGAAATCCCTGCAAAAGAAGGGAATTCCTTGGGGACCCCCAGGTCACCAGAAGTAGTGTCCCCATTAAAAAGATTTTTCCACTATAGCTTTTCTGGCGACAATCCAAAATTTGGGGTTTTCTTTTACTTTCAATTTCAATGAAAATGGTAAACCGGTCCAATTGAGAGGGTGAATCTCTTTAACAGGGGCTCCGACTGCAATAAAAACTGACAAGTGTTCTAGTCCCTCTCCACTCTGTCCTCTAGTTTAAATACTCTAAATTACAGATCAGTGAAAAAGCTTCCTATTCCATTGTTGGCCATTGTAGTGCCACTGGTAGTCAGTGTAGAAGTAACCCCTTTCTTACTAAACTAAATGTCAGTGGAAAATTCTGCCCCTAGAAGTGTAGGTGAGAGATCAAATATATCACTGTTTAAGGAACCCCTAGTAACTTGTGGGGGAACCCTAAGGTTCCACAGAACTCTGGTTGAGACAGGTAGTTCTGTAGGGTGTGATATTTGGATATACTGTGTGACCATTTTTCGAGAATTCTGAATGCTTTCTGACACTTCATGGAGCTTTATCCTTCAACTGCTGACTAAAAGTCTTAAAAATACCTAAAAAACATTATAGATGTTTGTCAAGAATTTAAATGTACCACCCATAAGCACTTAGCTTTAAACTAAATCCGTTACAACCCTGGGCAATTCAAACATATAAGAACAATATGCATAAAAACAAGCTACCTTCAAAAGTAATTGGAAGTAGTGAAGCCCCAACAGTTAGAGAAATGATGGTTACTAGAGGCGCCCATGACTGACAAATGTGTTTCTTGATAATGTTGGGGACTTTTTTATAACAGGAGGGAGTCCGAGATCCCTACCAAAACAATCTAGGCAGGATGTTTTCAAATTTTAACCTGAAATATTTATCTTAGGGCTCGTTCACACTGGCTGTTTTGCCAACGCTTGCCAAACGCCCCTATAGCGTTTGGCAAGCGTTGGTCCGGCGTTTGCGGAACGTTATTAACGCTCGGCAAACGCTCCGCAAACGCCGCATGCGCGGTTTAGCGGCGGTTGCTAGGCGTTTGCCGAGCGTTAATAACTCCCCACAAACGCCTATAATGCAGTTTGAGTGGTGTTACCGCTCCGCAAACGCCCCGCAACCCCGTCGCAACCGCACCGCAAACGCCGGCCGGGCGTTTGCGAAGCGGCACCATAGACGAGAATAGGAGGCTTCAAAGCCTCCTGACTCGTCCAGAGGCGTCCGTTTTGCCGCGACGCGACGCAAACGCTCCCGTTAGAACAGCACCATGTGCTGTAATGTGCAGAATTGGCAGAGGCGTTTGGGAAGCGGTAAAAACGCTTACCAAACGCCTCTCTGCCGCCTGCACACAAGGCTAGTGTGAACGTAGCCTAAAAGCGGTAGTAAACCACAAGAAAAAAAAAAAGTCCCATGCAAGCTAATGTCATAATGTGAAAGTATGCATCGCCCATCTTATGGAGAGTCCCTCTAGTTTCTAGAAAAGTCCCTGTAAAAATGATCATTTCTGTCAAGCATGGCCTTAGCTTCTAAACATTTTTATTAAAACAGAGAACTTGACCAAAAGGATATCTAAAAAAAGGAAATCTAGTTGCTATAGGTTACTGCACATCTGAACTGTTTTAACCACATTAGCTCCAGACGTTTTTACCCCCTGCTTGACCAGGCCATTTGTTTGCCATTTAGCTCTGTGCTACTTTAACTGGTAATTGTGCAGTCAAGCAACACTGTACCCAAACAAAAATGTATAGGTTTCTTTTGGTGGTATTTTATCACTGCTGGTTTTTTTTTTATTATTATATAAACAAAAAAACCCAAAATTTTGAAAAAAAAAAAACCCAAATATGTTTTACTTTCTTCTATAAAATATATCCAATATAAATAAAAAAAAAATCAAATTTCTTCATAAATTCAGGCCAAAATGTATTCTTTGGTAAAAAAAAATCAGAATAAGTGTATATTGATTGGTTTGAGCGAAAGTTATTGCATCTTCAAAACTATGAGATCTATATATATATATATATATATATATATATATATATATACACATATATATATACACACACATACATACACTGGATTTTTTTTTTGTTTGTCTTTAACTACTATTGGTGGTGTTCAGCGACTTATAGCGGGACTGTGATAGTGTGGACAATCTGACACTACCTGACACTGGGTAGGAACTGGCTAATTGACACTGACTTCTCCAGTAACACCAATACAGTGATCAGTGATAGTACTATACACTGTTACTGTACTAAGGACACAGGATGGGAAGGTGTTAACATCTAGGGGCAATCAAAGGGATAACTGTATGCCTAAGAAGTGTTAACACATGTATTATGTGCTGCTTTTTACTAAAAATCTCTTTGTTCCTTCTCCCTGCTTTGCAAGGAGAATGAACAAAAAGATTGTTCCCTCTGTACAGCCCTGTGTTAATTGTCAACACAGATCTTGGGCTGTGATTGAAAAGCAGCCCACAATGCTGTGTCCTGGGTAAAATATATTAAAAATACCATGAAACTGAACAGTTGCCAGCCTATTAAAACAAACTACTGTGTGAAAATCATGTATTGCTGCATGCGGCCTTAATTTATTAAAATGCATGTATTTTGTTAATTTAAGTGCGTATTTACAAAAATACTTACCTTAGCAAATTTTTAGCCAATAAACTGCAACACTGTTGATTCCTTTGCAACAGCACTTGCTGTTCAGAAATGATTGGGGCAGCTGTCAAATTTTTGGGTGTAAATAGTAATGCATGCCTGAACAATAATGCAGTGGTCCAGATAATAACAGACTCTCATATTGCTTTGTAACATCATTAGTTACTGCTTTTCTGCCAATTCACAACCAGCCACAAAGTATATGCAAATTATTTCATGGAAAAATGCCACTCACCTGTCTAAATAATTCACAATGTTAGGATTTTTATTTTCCCTCATGACCAGGATCTCATTAATTATTAATTCTTTTTTGGGTTGCTGCTGCAGGTTCATTTGCTTTATTGCTACCTAAAAAAGGAGAGAATTATATAAAATAGAGGAATTTCAAAGTGAAATAAGGCAGTGAACACTTAATAGTTTCCAAGAAATACTGCTACAATTGTAAAATGGTCCTCATCGAGCTGCAATAATACGTAAAGTGGAACTTCACTCTTTCAATCCACTTTGACTATTTTTAATCCTTATGCTGCTAATATTATAAATTGACAGGAAATTATATTATATTTACTTGTTTAAATTTTTTTCTAAATTTCTTCAGTCACTTCCTAGTTTCTGGCCTAGGCAAATGATGTCATACATCCCAGGAGCATTCAGGAAGGGGTTTCCCAGCCAGCACACACCCTCTTTCTTTGCTTTGAATATTAAGAATTAAAAAGCATTTTTGATTTGTGGTGCTCAGATGTGTTGTAGTTCCACTTTAGGGACCTTAAAGCAACCCTTTATTTTCTAGTATTTACAGAAACCGATGTAAAATGTAAATCAATCTAACACAACTCAACAGTGCACAACAATTATTGAACAAAACCTCTGCCTCTGTTTGCTCTAATGAAGAGGGTTCTGCCTTGGAAAAGTGCGTTCTGCCTCGCTCTATGCATATGGGCATCACCTATGCAGTACATCGCACTAAACTGTAATTGTTGGATCACTGATGTACTTCTTTTTACTTATGTTTGTAAGTATAATTCCATGTTTCATTCAAATAAAATGATTTATTGTAATGCATTAGGCTGGTGCGCCCTCGCTCTGCATGTTTTGTTTTACCTTACCTAAGCTTTTCCCGTATTTGAAGAGGGCAGCAAAGCGAGTTATTCAGCAGATTTTTGATGAAGCATCTGATCTGAAGATTTTTTCAGCTGATTTCTCCCTTTTTTTAATTTGTGCCATTGACTTTTATGTGTGTTTAAGATTAGTGGGTCGCCTATCCCTTTAGTGCTGATATTTATCTTTCATGTGTTTGAACAAAACGTCTACTCAAATGTGTCCCAAGACCAGGTCATTTTCTTGCTAGGTACCAACTTATTGCCTCTCTTACATTATAGAGAGGGTGAAGCTAGGTTATCACTTACAGGCAAAAGATCAAAGACAATTATGCCCTTTCTGTCACTGCTCATTGCATTTATCAGTGGCCAGAGCGAGTGGATAGAGATGAAGGTGACAATTTAGCTTCTAATTTTTTCAGGTCCTTTTTTGGGACCATACTGCACTGAAAATGCCTATAATGTAACATGCAATTACATGCATTTTTATATGCATTGTGATGCATTTATATGTATTAATGTGTGTTGCTGTGAGAACAAGGCACATAGAAAGCCACTATTTTCTATGTATCTTTGCAGACACATGCACTTATCCAGTGCAGAAAATTGTAGGTCACTGGATATGGTAGGAACGAGCCTGAAAAAAAAAAAAAAGGTGCATTTCTAACAGCATGGTTTAGTCTGCTTGGACTGTACATTTAGCAGAAAGGTGCAGTGTGTTTTACAGCTTATGGAGCAGAATATGAAGAAAACACACTGCTCTATAATATTATTGTGTGTTGTTTTAGAATGCCTTAAGATCTAAATACGTACACTCTAATCACTACACCATGCTCAATCGGGTTCATCGTATCTTAACATGAGTGAAGTATAACCAATTGCGAGAACATTCATCATGCAGTATCTTGTCAAATGATTCTGTACAAGCAACCCCTCTGCAAACTGCATAAGTTTGTTCTGTAAATAAGGAACAGTTTTGTTTTTTTAGCTCAAATTCAGGGCAATTCATAGCAAATGGATACCAACAGCTACAGAGGTTTACCAAGCAGGGCAGCCAGCTTTACCGGTCCAAAACCAATGTAAAAATTAAAGCTATTCATTGGGTAACCTGTATGTCCTATTGAGTCCAAATATAAAACCTTCATGTTTGGCTGGACTATACCTTTTAAAACATTACATTAATAGAGGAATGTAATAAAGACTGGAAGATCACGGGATTAATACATAAACCACAAAAATTGTAGAAAAAACAACAATGCAGAGCAGAGCGTATGTGGATTACATAAAATGATGGCTTGATAAGTCTAGAATTATAACAAGATTTACATGCAGCCTACCTCTTGGCCTGTAGCAATGTCTATAGCTGTGTACACTGTACCAGAAGCTCTGTAAGACACAAAGATCATAGTAGATGATTTGCATGTTTATGAGATCTGTTAGCCTCCATATTTCTCTATTCTATTCCAATAACAGTTACAGTTTTACAGACATATTGAAGTACAGTATTGATTTATGCTTTGTGTTGAAATGTAATTGCTTTAACTCTGACAAAATACTTTTATTACTGCCTGTAAATTGTTATTGAAATTCACAGCAGTGTTAGCATCTGAAAAGGTGCAGGATGAAAGACCCGACCCTTTGCTACACAAAGACAGGTCCACCATGACAATCAACATAAATGTATCACACCTCGTTTGTTTATGCAGCCAAACCTGCCCATGGTCAGCACTGGAATTGCAGCACTGCCATATCTGTGTAGAAGTTGAAGATGCTAGACCGGGTGTCGGCAACCCGCAGCTCCAGAGCCGCATGCGGCTCTTTTTCACCTTGGCTGCGGCTCCGGAGCACACTGCCCACCAGGTGACAGGCAATAGGGCAGCAATGGGCAAACTACGGCCCGGCGGACCTTTTAATCCGGCCCGCGGAGCTAGGCTCCTCTCACAGTCCGCCCTGAAGACCGGTGTGGCATGAAAATCTGTCTCCTATGAGGATCTGTCCCCCTCGACGTATCTGCGCATGTGCCGGAGATCGCCGATTGGCTGCTAATGCCTGAAACTGGCACATGCGCAGATACGTCGAGGGGGGACAGATCCTCATAGGAGACAGATTTTCATGCTACACCGGAACGGCGCGGGAACAACACGGCGAGAGGAATGCGCGGAGCAAAGGTAAGTGAATTGACACAGGGGGGACTTGGGGACTTACTATAGGGGGGATGAATTACTATAGGGGGGGATGAATTACTATAGGGGGATGAATTACTATAGGGGGGATGTATTACTATAGGGGGGATGTATTTTCAGTTTTAAAAATGTGGCTCTCAAAATAAATTTCAATCGTGGTTTTGGCGAGATTTGGCTCAGTTGAAAAAAAAGGTTGCCCACCACTGACCTAAGGCTATGATTGTGATTATGACGATACACTGTGGCCCTGATTAACCCTTTGCTTACTGGGCCCTTAAACCCCCTTCATGACCAGAGCGCTTTTTGCAATATATGCAGTGTCGGATTTGTTTTAAATGTTGCAATGGTTTTGCGGCTCCCAGTCTTTTTTTCCTTCTCAGAAACGGGTCCAAGTGGCTCTTTATGTCTTAAAGGTTGCAGACCCCTGTGCTAGACTGTAGTTTCAGGGAAAAAAAAAAGATTAAGAAAAGTATCTTCCATCTTTATTGACAGTAATGAGCTGCCCACTCAAGCTTTCTGGGATTCTCATTTGCAAAACTTCTACACAGATTTATATGAAGTCTGTGAAATGGTCATGAGTGATATCTGACTGGTTAGTCACTGCAGGAGATGAGAATCAACATGGTGGCCTTGTGATGCCTTTGTAGAGAGAAACCAAAAGCTAGGATGATATTAATCTAAAGGCAAGTTGTTTTTATTTTAATCTCAGTTACATCATTATCCCTTTTCTGTTCTGCAAAACTTAGAATACATTATTTGCTGTTCTTTTATGAGACCTCATTAGATTCCTAACTTCAAAAAACATGAGTTAATATATGTGTGACACAGGCAAAAATAAACAGACTGGGCATGTCCAAGCGAGTAAAGGCAATTTCATTGTTTTATTTCATGTAGCTCTATGAACTATAACAACCCCATCTCCACGAGGAGGCAGTATATAACCATCAGTAATGTGGCTGTACTGTAAAATGAATGTTAAAACTGATGTATGAAATATGTCATTTCAGAAGCCACATTACTATAATTCACTGTTCAGCGTATTAGGATTGGTTCACGCCTATAATTTTTGCGTTTTTTACCACGTTTTGCGTTTTTTTCAACTTTTTTTTTTTTGTTAAAGTGTAAAATGTTTTGTTGCTGGGCAGAAAAAAAAAACCAAAATGAAGCAAAAACGCATTAAATGAGTTTCAGCAGCTTCTCCATTGAACTCTATTGTAGCAAAATCACTGAATTGTGCATTAAAAAAGTCCTTGACCTTTTCCAAAAAAGCAGCAGCTCAAAAAAGCTTAGATGTGAACACGCCCCATGTTAAATGGACTGTGAAAAAAAAGCACTAAAAAATGCATAAGTGTGAACCAGGGGTAAGGCTAGGTTCACACTGATGCGGCTCTGCGAGCCATGTTTTGAGCAGGCATGGCAGCCCATTCATGCGAATGGGCTGCCGTGCCTCCTAAAGTGCAGGGAAAAGATCCCTGCACCATTTCTGGAACCACAAATCCTTCTTTCTCTTTATGTAATCCCAGACAGACTCCATGATGTTGAGATCAGGACTGACATTGGCTGCATGTTTGGGGTCATTGTCCTGCTGCAGAAAAATTTGGGGCCAATCACATTCCTCCCTGATGGTGCAGAATGGTATTACTCAGCACTGGAAATATAACTGATCCTGACCAAAATCTATTTGCAGAAATGCAACGCTAAACATGCAAGGAACCTACACCATACTTCACTATTTCCTGCCAACACCCATTATTGTACCCCTCTCCTGCCCTTCGGTGAACAAACAGCTTCCTGCTGCAGCCAAATAATTACAATTTAGACTCAATGTTCCAGAGTACCTGCTACCATTTTTCTGCACCCCAATTCCCAGGTTTAAAAAATAAGCTATTTACACTGCTATTTATGAAAGCATTCTCAATTTATATCATTATTTCACACCTGCTTAAAACCTCTGCGCACACACACTGATCAGCCATAACTTTATGACCACCCACTCAATATGGAGTAGGTCCCCTATTTGCCACCACAACAGCCCTGGCCTGTTGAAGCATGGACACCGCTAGACCCACAATTTGAGTTGGGACACCCATGGATCAAGAATGGTTTGAGGAACACAACAAGTTTGAAGGTGTTGACTTGGCCTTCTTCCCCATAGTGCATCCTGGTGCCATCTCTTCCCCAAGTAAGTGACGTACATGTTCCCAGCCATCCACATTATCAGACCAGGCTACCTTCTTCCATTGCTCCGTGGTCTAGTTCTGATGCTCATGTGCCCATTGCAGGCGCTTTTAACTATGGACACAGGTCAGAACGGGTACCCTGACTGACTTTCAGAAGCTATTGTAATAAGAAAATCAATGTTATTCACTTAACCAGTCAGTGATTATGTTATGGCTGATCAGTGTGTGGATAGATAGATAGATAGATAGATAGATAGATAGATAGATAGATAGATAGATAGATAGATAGATAGATGGACAGACGGACGGATGGACAGACAGACAGACAGATTTTTTTTTTGACTGGACTGCATGCCTGACATCACCATTAGCTTGTATCTCATCTCATGTTTCTAAATCAACACTAAAAATAAATGCATTGGCTGTCTCACAAAACCCCATTACCTGTTCTATCCTGCCAAGAAATGCTTCACAAGGAGAAATACAATAAAGAGTGTGTCAGCTGTCAGATGAAGAAGCACACAAGGCCAGACAGGAGACGTTAAGGAATAAAAGGGACAGAATATGAGACAGGAGTTTATTTACTAAATCTGGAGAGTGCAACATCAGGCTCACATCTCCAGAAAAAACAATCAGATTTTAACCTTAGCTTGTTCAATTAAGCTTTGGCAATAAAACCTAAAAGCTGAATGGTTTCTATGCAGAAGTCAGCTTGAGTTTGCACTCTCCCACTTTAGTAAATAAACCCCATCGTGAAACATGCTGAATGAGGATCACCTGGCATCCACGGCAAGAATTGTACTGGAATCATATTATGTAGGTAAATTGATCTTTACAGTCACTTTGAAAACTAAAAAATTTAGGCTAACATTTGCCACAATTTACTTATTTTTAGGTTTTTGTTTTCCTTTTTTTTTCTTTTTTCAGTTACAGGTTACTGCAAATGTTTAATGGAGAGTGGTGAAACAAATTGGTACGATATAAATCAATTCTATGCTTCTGATGCATCTTTCAGTAAGTCCAGAGCCAAGCAGTTATGAGTTATTTTGGATCCTACAGACTCCAACCCACAGAACACTATAGGAAATTCAGACATTTGGGCAGAGAAAACTGCAGACCAGTAATACTCTTTGTATTGAACTGGTAGAATGTACTGGACAATTAGCATCACACAGGCAAGTGAGACACCAAACTCACCTCACTCTGCTCTACCAGTCATCGTTTGGTGAAATTCTCCATTATAGGAAGACAAGCAATTATCAGAGTCCTCCACACTGTTCTTTCCCCACTATTGTGAATGAGAAAATATAACTACCGATCAAAAGCAGAAAAATCTAAAGGCAGAATGCAAGGCACGGGACTATAATTTCAACCGGGAAGGAGGAGAGTTGAGTAATATTTTAACATTGTGGATATCCACCTTTCTTCACCCAGGCCACAAGAGGATGGAAATAATTTAAGCAAATAAAACAAACATTTTCTTTTTCAATATTCTGGTGGTATACTCACCCTTGGCCGATCTTTTCAAATCGTGTGTATTTCTTTTTAGGATCACCTACGCTTACAATGCTTCCTGCAGGGTTAAACAGCAAAAAAGAATATTTCCAAAGGTGAAAGATCATAAATATCTAAAAGGTTTGGACTCATACATTTATAATTTTTTTTTAAAGCCTTAGAAACCAACACAGTGGAAGTACTCTATCTCACGTTACACCTTGTTAAATATAGTTTGGATGGATTTTAATGTAAATTTACCTGGGTTTATCTTGTATGATATTTTTAAATGCCATTTACAATATGGTACCCTTTACTCCTTGATTACATGCTAAGCATACACAAATTAAATTTTATGTACAAGTTCTCTATCTATTCAATAAAACTTTCAAAAGTTTTGATATATAAGCCTACCTATACAAAGAGAATAACAATTAAGTATCAGGGTCACCTACAACACATGCAGAAGCTTTTATATGTTTTGAGTGGAAACACCACATTTATTCCGCCATTATGTCAAATAAAGAGAATCAGACAAAGAAATCCATTCTTACCTGCTCTGCATTTTCTAGCTAAGTTCTTAGAATACTGTCTCTTTAACCTAACGTTGATAGCTCAGGAATAGACACTTTCTTGTACAAATTAGAAGTCCGGTATTCTAACCTAATCTAGGTGAACATATACTTCTATTGACAACATTCTTAAAGCCCAACTCCGGGTAAAACCTTTTATATAGTTTTCTGTAGAGTAGGGAAGGGTTAGAGGCTCTGTCAGGTTATTTTGCCATTTGTTTCCCTATTGTTCGATTTTCCTTCACTCCCTGTCAGGTCAGAAAGTGATGCCAAAAGGTGAAAAAAGGCAAAGGCAAAACAGAGGGTCAATTTTTAGACAGCAGCTGTATGGCCTCCTTCACATGGGCGATCATCTGTATACAGCGAATTCCAGCAGCAAGAATTAGAGGATTTTTGCAGCTTTGATCACATGTGTATGAACAGCTGCTGCTGCTCAGTTTGTACAAAGAAATGACAAGCTGCGATGAGCAGTCGCTGTTCATACGTATCCATGCACATGGCAGTTACCTGCAGTTAGGAACAATGTTTGACCCTGGATGCATCTGTGTGCATCCAGGGTCACTCATTCATCCCCAACCACTGGTAACCAATCGGTGTGGGCTTTAAAGATGATGTTCTCCACAATTTCTATCTACAGAGGGCAGAGGTATATGAGGGATTGCTTTAAAGCCTAAGTTTAGTTAGATTTTTTTTTTTTATAAATCAGCACGAGGGATGGTACTTACATTAAATGAGAAATGTCCCTCACGGTGGCTGCATTAAAATCTTATGTCCTCTACCCCTACTCCCCCCTCCCCCAATAACCACACCGTTGCAATATTCTGATGCTACGGAGTAATATGAGCCAAGGGACACTTCTCGTTCAAAGTACTGTTCCTTGTGCATTTTTCAGTAAACTTAGGTTTGAAAGTGTTTTACTGCTTGTGAATGATATACAAATACTTGGAGTGCACAGTGTGGACACAGGTTCAATTAACAGGTTCACACATATCACAGGTTCTAAAAGTAAAACATGTTTTACTTTAATTCATTCCCTGCATTAAAAGGTAAAAAAATATTTTGCGGTCAATCAAATCCTGTTAACAGAGAGTGGGGGGAGAGGCCAAGCTGCGCTGCGTGTGTCAACAAACACACACAATCCAGCTTGGGACAGAGCCCGCACGTCTGTTCCCACAGCAAGCATTTGCTGTGGGGGCAGACACAAAAGAGGAAGAGCCAAGATAGCTGGAGAGGGACCCCAGAAGAGGAGGTCTGGGGCTGCTCTGTGCAATACCATTGCACAGAGCAAGTGATTTATAACATGTTCATTATTTTTAGAAAAAAAATGCCTTTAAAACCACTTTAAACCTGCCCAAAACAGTAGGCTTCATTAGCTCATGTTCAAACAAAGAAAGGAAGCATACTGAGTTTCTCGAGGATTTCTTCATCTGTCATCTTTGATTTTTTGCGCTGCCGGTCAGTATTCCTGTACAAAGTGCTCGTGCTTGAGTTCTCTGGCTGGGTTGTCACTGGGGAAGTGGAGGCCTCTTTGGCTGGAGCAGGAACAGCCACAGGCTCAATGACAGAACGAGTATATATCTGCATGAACAGGACAATAAACAACAAATATTTAAGAAAATCACTTATACAGATAAAAGGCACATAGTTTTTGTTTTTTAAAATGAAGAAAAATACATAACAGATTTCATAAAAATGTTCTCAAAAAGCATTCCAAGGTTCATGTACAAAAGTATAAATATCAGAACGTGTTATTTACCAGCAGCAATTCAGCTGTGCCCCCATAAAATTACAGTTGCAATCTGAAAACCTTATACAGATAGTGTAGCGCTAAAAGAACATCTAATGGCAGGTAAGCGAAATAGTAAGTATCAAATGATATAAATGTTTAACATTCAAGACATGACAAGAAATAAAGACTACTGCAAATGGTATAACACACTATCCCCTCTTGATCCTCATCTGAGGGATCACCAATAGGTGCAAGCAGTGTATGTGTCCCCAAGTAGGGAAAAATATATAAAAGTATAACTTGGTGAGTCGTGCCACATAACACTACAAACACAGTGATACAACTCTTCAAATGTCCATTCAGAAATACAGCACTCTCATGCAGGTGGTAATCTTGTGCTTGTGCCTGTGAAAGCGTGGCAATCCTCCGTGGCTGGAGTGCCCCCTCACCTTCCTGCCCAGGCCCCTCAGGACCAATGAGCCTAGTAAATCACACTGTTGTTCCTCCCAGGACTAAGTGGTCTTCTCAGCAATAATGGTGGTACTCCCTCCTCTTCTGGTATATGAACCTCCAATATTTACTGGCACTGCTGGATGGATAGTACTCCATACACGTCCCCAATGATAAGACAGAGAATAGCCAACATAGTGTAAACCTGATTTATTAAGCCTTAAAAGTATATAAAAAATGCCCACTCACATAAAGTAGTCAAAAACCAAGCCTTCACATCACACTATGGGTGTACTGCATGTGTGGATGACAAACGGGTGCACCAAGAAGGCGTCCGCGCCGGATCTGACGTCACTACTCTTCCGGAAGCCCCTCCTACTGGCGTACCTACGCGTTATGTCACGGTCAGTCACGTGACTTCATCAGGATAGTGAGTGGGCATTTTTTATTGCTGAGAAGACCACTTAGTCCTGGGAGGAACAACAGTGTGATTTACTAGGCTAATTGGTCCTGAGGGGCCTGGGCAGGAAGGTGAGGGGGCACTCCAGCCACGGAGGATTGCCACGCTTTCACAGGCACAAGCACAAGATTAACACCTGCATGAGAGTGCTGTATTTCCGAATGGACATTTGAAGAGTTGTATCACTGTGTTTGTAGTGTTATGTGGCACGACTCACCAAGTTATACTTTTATATATTTTTCCCTACTTAGGGACACATACACTGCTTGCACCTATTGATGATTCCTCAGATGAGGATCAAGAGGGGATAGTGTGTTATACCATTTGCAGTAGTCTTTGTCTTTGTTTCTTGTCATGTCTTGGATGTTAAACGTGCTGGCTGCCGGAATAGTGAGGAAAAAGATAAGTATTTCAACATACTCATCCTCCCCTATACAAAACAAGCATTTAAACCCTTGCTGTACAAGGGTAACCTTACCTTTCTCCAGCTCAGAGTTCAGCTTTACTACTATTGGAGGTGGTTAGAAACAGCTGTTCTTAGTATCTGCATATTAAATATTAATACTGAACAAGATGAACTCATAACACTTTACGTTCTGAGTGAAGTCGGTTCGCATTCTTGAAGTGATATCCAGTCTTTACAGAATTTGTGATAAATAGAAAACAAATGGAGGATTCCAAGCAGTCCAATGGAGGGGAGGCAACACAGCCAACAAATGCTAGCAGATAAAAAAAAAAAAAAAAAACCCAGAAATCTAAGGATTGTGTGAAGCTCAGAGCTGCTTGAAGGGTTTAAAATATAACTAAAGGCGAAACGTCTTGTTTTTCGTTATGGATGGAGTAAGAGAAGGTTAATCTTTCCAAAGTGAGGGAATCCCAGTGTGTCACCATGGTCACCAGAACTTGTGTCCCAGTGCAAGATTTCCCATCTATTATTCTTCTGTCAACCAAAAATTTGGGATTTTCTTTCACTCTTGATGATAATGGTAAACAGGACAAATAGAAAGAGTGAATCTTCCTAAAGCGGAAGCAATTGCTTGATGCTGAAAAGCCCAAGAAGCAATCACAGATACTGTAGAGTGCACTTTAACATGAAAGGTTGGACCGTCAAGACCATTAGCTTGGATGATGATCTGTCTGAGCCTCCTAGAGATGGAGGCAGAATGAGAAGCTGGTGCACGTTATCTGTGCAATCTAGGATGTCAAAAAGGGAATCAGTCTTTCTGAAAAAGACAGTTACTGAGATACACATTAGGGAAATTAGCCAAAAGCTGGTCCAGACCCAGCTGTAGGAAGGAGAGGATTCATCCCCCAGGTAAGAGTCCTAGGATGGAATCCCCAAAACTCACATCAAATAAAGTAATCTTTCCATGTTTGATGGCAGACCTTGCGTTAAATAGACTTCCTAGTTGATAAGGTTTGATGAATTCTGCCATTTGTCCATGGCTGGGATGTGCATGGCAGGTAAAGCTGGAGCGTGAGGTTCTGCCCAGGACAGGATGCAAACTACCTATCTTTACACATTGAGACTTTTGGTTCAGTGTGGGTAGACATTTTCTTTATAAAGCCCTCCTTAAACAGGTACAGGGGTAATAGGGTGCTTTAACGGAGCAAACACTTGTCAGGTTGCTTCCATTATCCATAAAGAGAGACTTGGAACAGTGAAATGAAAAGTCTTTGAGCACTGAAGAGTGCTAAAGGTCCAAAAACTGGAAGCAGGACCGGTAGAAGCATCATGCTGATCCTCTAGTGGTGAGCACTACATTGATAAGAGCTGAAACGTTCTCTCTCAAATTTGATAAAACACTGTTATATGTTTGTTATGTGTTCCAGTTTTGCAGTCAAACTGGAAAAAAAACCCATGATCTGTTTCTTCCTATGCACACCGCATACCAAAAAATAATTAAATGAAAGCAAACTTCTTCCTTTAACTGTTTTTAGGAGAAGTTGTCATGGCTGGCTGCAAGGATTTTTGAAAAAAGTGTGTCTGTCATAAGTCTGTCCTCAATAAACACACAACGCAAGAAGTCTAGCTTCTAAACAGGCACTGTTCAAATCTAGTTACAGCGGACAATGAAGATCTGCTTGCACAGTACAGACAGGGTTAATTTTAGCAAACACACCTGCCCAACCCCTAACAAACAAAGATAACTAGTAGGATTTTACAGTGCTGGAGTATAAAGAATAGAGCTGCATCTTTTAAATATTTTTTTAAAGGAAAGTATAGCCAAAGCTATTTGGCCTATACTTCTCCTGCAGAACAGACTTCACTCCTGTAATCCATTTTCAGCTAAAGCCTGCTGTTGGCTGAGCCAGTCCAGCCTCCAAAAAGATCCTAACCATATGGTCAGAATCCACCCAGATGATTGGACCAGCACCTAGCTCAGCCTCACAGCACGCTGCTGAGAGCCTGAGTCAGCTACTCCCACCCCCTCCACACCCCAGCACAGCAGTGAGCGCTGGAGGGGCACAGCAGAGAACCGGCAACTAACAGTCACCACTCTTCACTCAGAGCGGAGGGGAGAATTGAGCAATCAGGATCAGCAGTGTTTGATCACTCAGTTTTCAGTCTTGAAGCCAGCAGGGAGCAGATGCAACATCGTATCAATGCTGCATCCACCTAGGCATTTATAAATGTTTTTTTTTTAAAACCCATATTTTTCTCTTTTAAACTTATGCTGTGCGACTGGGAACATGTAGGAAATACACTTCAATTTGTGAGTAATAGCAGAAGGCTAAGACTCCTCTAGGATCTGGCAAAGATTGGAATGATTCAGAATCAGTTAGGGCCTGTGCAACCACTAACTCAGTGACCATGGGCAAATCAGATTCAGAACCTGTTGGGGGAGGAGCAGGTGTGTGCTTGTAGCCCCTGAGGTCAGAGTCACTAAATTGGGAGATTTGGACCATAAAGTCTTGCATGTATGTAATAGCGTTAGCTGAAAGGACAGAGGAATCGGCCAATTCGAAAGTACTGAAAAGAACTTAAGGATTCCAATGACAGAATAGACAACTAGTAGCAGTTAAGGCTCTGGTGAGCAGAAGAAACCAAAGCCACTGTAGGTGGGCTTCAGGAACTGAGCAAAGATTGAATTTTCAAATGGCTCTTTGCAAGTAGAAGCAGTAACAGGGAGATGTTTCCTCAAAGCTGTGAGGTCGAAAACAGCAGAGAGCACATATACGTGACACTGCACTCGTAGATTATGTCAGTGCTCAGTCCCACAGCACTAACCCCTTCCTTAATGGAAACCAATGGAAAACAGGGAATTTTAACAGTGCCCAGGTAACTGAGGTAGGTTCTGTGCTCAGCTTGACCAACCTAGTCACTGAGTCTTCAAAGACAGGGCAAGAACTAAGTAAATGCTAGCAGCTCTAAACCTGAAAAGTGCTCTGTGGCTAACTTGTCAACTCAATTAGGAAGAACATTTCCAGATTATCCCCACAACATCCAGGCCAATGGGTTCTGGAGGCAGCACCTAAAAATCCAGGCTGAGGATGGCCACAACAGATCAAATATTAAAGAGACCAGTTCTAGTAACAGTGTAAAGAAGAGTTTTAATTGAGGAGCAAAATGTTGAAGAAAAAGGTGCTCGAATAAATAAGATAGCCTTTTATACAGCAAACCTGAAGAAAAAAACATGCAATCTCCTAGGACATTAGCAAAAAACAATGGCATGCTGCTAGTGGGAGGGGTTATCATGGACTGGCCTACTTTTTTTTTCCTGTCAATCTCCAATCCCCCTGTAGGCAGCATCAACCTTAAGGTGAAAGACTTCCGTTGTCCCTCAATTAATGAGAGAAGAGGATGTACTACACTACTTTATTAACTTTCTTCTCCATTCTCTTTTCAATGAATATACCACAGTTAGGCTGGTAAAACCTTTGTATCTTTGTAATCAAATAAAATGACCTAGTAAACATGGGGTTTACCAATATGTTTGTTACATATAGGGAACCACACACACACACACAGCAAGCCCACATATTTGAAGAGGCTGACAATGCACCAAAAAAAAAAAAAAAAATTGGACAGGGCGCTGCTTTAACTGATGCAGTGCACCACAACACATTGTAGTGCTTTACTATGCATACCAATGAACTGCAATAAATATGCATTGGAGGTGCATTAAAAATGAATGGCACTGGAACACGCTAACACAGCTATCGTGGTGCAGTAATGTGCATGTGATGCAACACACCGAACTGGAGGGGTATGGATAGGCCCCAAGAAATACCATCTAAAAAAATTTTTTATTCTGGATCATATGGTTCATACCTGTAAAGATAACATTCTGTATATTTATTCCTTCTCTAGTTCACATGCCTTTATTTATAGTTTTATTCATATTGACATGTCAACAGGGGCGGACTGACAAATCATGGGGCCCCCGGGCAATAGGGGATCATGGGGCCCCTGTGTCCTTGCCCAAACTCAAAAAAGCCTATGAAAAAGGTACCAGGGGCATCTCATGGGGCCCCCTACTGACCCCGGGCCCTTGGGCAGGGCCCGAGTTTCCAAATGGTTTGTCCGCCCCTGCATGTCAACCAAGCTATCCAGCAAAAGTGACAGTGACAACAGTTCAGGTTGAAATGACCATTTAATCACAAATTTTAAATTTGATATTTTATTTAGTTTAATGCTTATTAGTTCATAAAGTCTAATATGTATTTACAGTCATCAGCACTATCCACACAAGTGTAAGGAGGGGCAGAGATATAGAGCATCAATACTGCATAACTGCATGCTGTCACTGGAGACAACTGAGCGGACAAGGCCCAGCAAGTTCGTCTGAACTTGAGACTTGAACAGACACACAGGCAAAGTGCCTTAACCTCCTGTATATGCACTGTTAATTTTTATGTCTTGTTAGAGCTGAAATTTAATATGGATATGTTTACACATCGGCCCCACTGACATTACACTGAACTAGCTCAGATTACAATTGAAAGAGATGCCCTCCAGTAGATACTATTTATACGATGTAAACAAACAGATCCTGTGTCGATATGACTATAGAATATGATGAAAAGGTAAGAGCGTAACTAGATCATGCCTGTAATCAAGCATGATCTAGTTATACAGGTATGATCCAGTGAGACAAATTGCAGATTGCATCGAATATGTTTCCTCTCTGCCAGACCACCAATTGTGCAAATCATACTTCTCTCTGATCAAATGGATGAGCTGCTAATTCTACTGTAAAGCCTGTAAATCTGAAAGCAATAGGTCTCATAATCAATAGTGTCTGAATTAAATATTGTTCCTAAAGTCTATGGAAATCAACCACATTCTTCTTTCATTTCAAGAAATTGAAATGAACATTCAGATTGTCCCTCTAGGAGATAAAACTTTTTTTTATTATTATTATAAATTTAGTGACAGAAAACCATTAGCAGCTTACTGATTTTGTATGCTCAGGACGTGGAGCAATTACTGGAGGGATTTCACTATCCTCTTCCTCCTCTTCTTCTTCTTCATCCTCTTCTTCTGATACTGGAGGAGCTAAAGGTGGCTCTGATGCAGTCTTTGTGTTCTGGAACAAAAAATAAAAGTGTATATTAATATGTTGGGCCACCCAAAATGTTTTTTTTTTATATATATGTATTGGATACTCCAGCAGTGACATTCCACTGACATTATTCCCAGCCCTGCTCTGGTCTACCTGGGTGTTTTAGGTTTTTTTCCCGTCCACCTCTGAGTTTTAGATTTTCCTGGTGCATTCTGCATAATATAATATAAACTAAAAATCCAACGCTGACATGGGATCTCCTCACAATTGCCACAGCAGTCAAGCTCAGAGTCCCCATAAGATATATTAAAAAATCACCAGGTGGATTTTCTCTTCAGCATCTACCAAAACCAGAAATATCATTTTTAGGGGGCTGATCCCTTGAAGAGATCAATAAACAGAGCTGACATTGCGGTAATTACCAGATATTCCCTACGGATACTGCATAAATTACAGGTATTCTTTGTTGTATATTTTACTACACAGAGCTTTAGGTTACATCATTTTGGAGCAAGTTGGAGAGCTGACCACAAACTGCACACCTAAATCACTGTGTTGACCTGCTAGCCTAACAATCCAGGTAAAGAATATGCAAACCCAACACTTCATATTCCTGATATGTGTTTGCTGCACCATGTACTTCTATGAAAAAGCATCCTTTTCTCTTTGTATTGCTTTCTTTGTATGAAATCCCTGTTGTTCCTGCCAGTCTCTCTGCTCTTCAATTAAAAGCTGACCATACTAAACATGAGAGCACAGCATGGTCAGTCTCTAGCTGAGAACTCAACCTGCTCTCCTCCAATGATCAGACTTCTGCTTGCACGCCCCCTCTGCACAGCCATTCAATGGGAAGTTAAGAGTTCTGCTGTTTCTCCTCCCCCAGCTTTCTGTTCTCAGCTGCATAAGGAGCTTAAAGGGCATGTGATACACAAATGTATTTGCCATTCATTTCTATTTTAAACTGAATGGGTTGTTTTACAAGGTGAGGGTTTACATCAGGGGTGTCCAAACTTTTTTCAAAGAGGGCCAGATTGGATGAAGTGAACATGGTGGAGGGCCGAACATTTTTCCGAACATTCTTTGAACCATTACAATTAAATGCAAATAAATTATTTTATGCCAAGTTAATTGCAAACGACATACTTTTCATTTCATAACATTAAGATCAACTGACAGCTGAGTTTTCACAATGTTTTGAAAATAAATAAAAAAAAAAACGTACCTGCACTAATGTGAAGGGTGAAAAAGGTAGCTGGAGCTGAAGTCTCTGCTCGGCAGCCGGGAGGGGAAGCACTTCACGCTGGAAGCCCAGCCCTGACGTCACCGCCCTCTGTCGCTCCCCAGCGCGGCGCAGTCACGCATGCGCACTGCTCTCAAGCAGAAGACTGTCTGCCACAGAAGGGAGGGCCATGCGACAGCCGCATTTACACAGACCAGGGAGAACGCGCCGCAGTCAGGCATGCGCACTGCCCTCTGCTCTCAAGCAGAAGACTGTCTGCCATAGAAGGGAGGGCCATGGGAGGGCCACATTACACAGAGCAGGGAGGGCTGTTGGAGGGCCGTATTAAACTGACCCCCGGGCCGTAAATGACCCGCGGGCCGGACTTTGGACATGCCTGGTTTACATATACTTAAAGTGAATGCCTTTCATGTGTGCATTGTAGGAAACAAATCATATTTTGGCTTTGTTGGTACAGTTGTCTGCATTGTTAAAATGATTTAGCATTAATCTTTTATTTAAAAAAAAGTGGCAATCTATTTGTTGATTATTCCCTGTCAAACGTACACGTCAATGATTCAGACCTGCAGAGTTTTTCAGACAGAATACTCCTATAGTTTGGAAACCCATTGAGTTTAATATTATTGCATGTAAGATAATTTATCCTCCCAATAACTGATTTATCTATTTTTAATAGACTTTAAATACACGGCCTGTACTTTGTATTGGAGTCATGCTCCTATTTCCACTAAGATGTATTTCCATGTATATTTCCAGATGTAGTGTAGCTCAACCTGTAACAGTATTTTTTTTTAATTTAAAACATTAGAGAAGTGGATAGTAAAATCATTTATTTCAGAGTAGTCAACAGGTTCTCAAAAATTGTACAATTTCATGGTGACTATACAGGAAGACTGTCTGCATTAGTCACCACTGCATAGAATGTAGGCCATGTTACAATCTGCTTAGCTATAATAAACATTTTTCCAAGCTATTTTATAAAATTTCACCTGAGGTTTACAACTGCACTGGATCTTATACAACAGGATTGGATCTTACATCACCAACAAGCATTCTACATTTCTATAGAACTCCACCTCACTATGAATCAGACTTTGAAATCCTGCAACTTCACTTGAAGTCCCAAGATTTCAAAGCCGCATGTTAGTACGATTTCAGGTGGGACTTGGCTGATATCTGTGCGACTTCATGCACAGATGTTTATGCAAGTCGCACCTGAAATTGCTAAAAATAGTGCAGGAACCTATTCTTCTATCAGTGCGGCACCGCAAAGTCAGATTCACACTTATTTGAAATGGTTCCATTGCCAACAATATGGTGCAACTTGTCATGCGATTTTTAACTGTCAAATCGCATGCTAAGTCACACTGGTGTGAACCATGGCTCAATGTGCTTGACCATATAATCTGATTTTAGCATGTGTAGGTAAATTCAAGACTGTAGGATGAATAGAACTGAATCTGCTGCACAGATTATAGGGTGTATACTTTAAAAGGTCGTTTGTATTCCTATATTTCAAGCATACATTTCTTTTCTTCCACCTGAGTATACGATCACTCCTGTACACTAATTTTAATGTGGCCAACCTGCAGCCAAGGCAATGTGTTGTGATCGAGACAGAAGCACTGTGCATACAAGCAAAACTTTACTATGACTGCTCACTTATTAGCTTAAGAAAAATAATTCACTGATGTATATCACAGGTGTATATACCATTTAAATACGAACACCCAGTAATCCTGTAACCAAACTGGCACATAGAAGCATTGGCGTTGATTTACTAATACTGGAGAGTGCAAAATCTGGAGCAGCAGTGTATGGTAGCCAATCAGCTTCAAATGCCAGCTTGTTCACTCAAGCTTTGACAAAAAAACCTGAAAGCCGATTGGTTTCTATGCAGAGCTGCACCATATTTTGCACTCTACAGTTTTAGTAAATCAACCCCATTGTGTATCTTTGTATGTTACCACAGGAACTTGAGGCATGCACAGCAAGCTGTGTATATGGCAAGTCCTAACATCAACAATAAGCTATATTGACATGCAACACAATAAAATGCTAGTCTTTATTGAGCCATTATTACTGTTCATACTTTGTGATTCTGATTTTAGATAATAAAGATCTGAGAAGATATATGAAAGTGGAAATAGATGTACAACTTACCAAAGAGTGAGCAGCGATATATCCATGTGCACTTTTATCTGCAATAATAAAATCAGCACTAATTAGAAATAACCTGTCCAAATGTTTTGCTTTTATGACTCATACAGAATTCATGATGTGATAAACATGCAGTGATACGATTGTTTGATATTACAATTGTGGCAATAAAAGCACAATGCGCAATCATTTTCACCAAACAGGCACAATGCATCATCAAAAGAAATCTAATGCAATTTGACCAAAATTGGCATTTACTATGTTGTGTCTAAAGAAATTTTAGAGTTATTTGAAAGAGCCTGTTAGTGCTTATTGTTTAGTGTATGGCCAGATTGAGAAAATTCACTAGCCTATACAAATTGTCTACAGTATTATTGGCTCTGTTCCAACACATACATGGGGTAAAAAAAAGTATTGAACATGTCAACATTTTTCTCAGTAGATATACACTATACTGCCAAAAGTATTGGGATGCCTGCCTTCACACACACACACATGACCTTTAATGGCACCCCAGCCTTAGTCCGTAGGGTTCAGTATTGAGTTGGCCCACCCTTTACAGCTATAACAGCTTCAACTCTTCTGGGAAGGCTGTCCACAAGGTTTAGGAGTGTCTATGGGAAGGTTTGATCATTCTTCCAGAAGCGCATTTGTGAGGTCAGGCACGGATGTTGGATGAGAAGGCCTGTCTCGCAGTCTCCATTCTAATTCATCCCAAAGGTGTTCTATCAGGTTAAGGTCAGGGCTCTGTGCAGGCCAATCAAGTTCCTTTACCCCAAACTCACTCATCTATGTCTTTATGGACTTTGCTTTGTGTACTGGTGCGCAGTCATGTTGGAACAGGAAGGGGCCATCCCCAAACTGTTCCCACAAAGTGGGGACTTGAAATTGTCCAAAATATCTTGGTATGCTGACACCTTAAGAGTTCCCTTCCCTGGAACTAAGGGGCCAAGCCCAACCCCTGAAAGACAACCCCACACCACAATTCCCCCTTCATTAAATTTTACACTTCGTACAACGCAGTCAGGCAAGTACCATTCTCCTGGCAACTGCCCAACCAAGACTTGTCCATCGGATTGCCAGACAGAGAAGCGTGATTCAACTCTCCAGAGAACACACTGAATCCAGTGATGGAGTGCTTTACACCACTGCATCCAACGCTTTCCATTGCACTTGGTGATGTAAGGCTTGGGTGCAGCTGCTTGGCCATGGAAACACATTCCATGAAGCTCTCTACACATGGTTGTGCGAATGTGAAGGCCACATGACATTTGGAGGTCTTTAGCTATTGACTCTATAAACAGTTGTCGACTTGTGCACACTGTGCGCTACAGCATGTGCTGACCCCGCTCTGCCATGTGGCTGAGTTGCTGCTGTTCCCAGTTGCATCCACTTTGTTATAATACCACTAACAGTTGACTGCGGAATACTTAGTAGCAAGGAAATTTCACGGATGGACTTATTGAACCTATCATTCTAGCACGTTTGAATGCATGGAGCTCCTAAGAGCGACTCATTCTTTCAAAAATGTTTGTAGAAGCAGTCTGCATGCCTAGGTGTTTAATTTTATACACCTATGGCCATGAAGGTGATTGGAACACCTGAATCCAGTGATTCGGAAAGGGTTTCCCGATACTTTTGGCAATATAGTGTAATATAGTGTATACTTCGAAAAGGTACTATTGACATGAAATTTTCACCACATGTCGGTAACAATCCATGCAATCCATACATAGAAAAGGAACCAAAAGAAACAAGTTCAGAACTTAAGTTATGTGTAATAAAATGGAATAACACAGGGAAAAAGTATGGAACACATAGAGAAAGGGAGGTGCAAAAAGGCATGGAAAGCCAAGACACCAGCTGAAATCTATCAGTATTTAGAAAGCAACCTTGCCCCTTGTCGGTGTAAATTAATATCAGCTGGTTCAGTCAGAACTGACGGCCTATACAAAGGTGTCTCATTACCAAGGTGTCACACAAGAAACATCTCATGATGGGTAAACGCCAACAGCTCTCTCAAGACCTTCACAACCTTATTGTTGCAAGACATACTGATGGCATAGATTACAGAAGGATTTCTAAACTTCTGAATGTTCCAGTGAGCACTGTTAGGGCCATAATCCAGAAGTGGAAAGAATATAATTCTACCATAAACTGGCCATGACCAGGTGCTCCTCGCAAGATTTCTGAGAGAAGAGTGAAAAGAATAATCAGAAAAGATGTCCAATAGCCAAGGACCACTTGTGGAGAGCTTCAGAAAGACCTGGAATTAGCAGGTACAATTGTTCCAAAGAAAACAATAAGTAATGCACTCAACCGCCATGGCCTGTATGCATGCTAACCACGCAAGACTCTATTGCTGAAGAAAAAGCATGTTGAAGCTCATTTAAAGTTTGCTGCACAACATTTAGACAAGCCTGTGAAATACAAGGAGAATATAGTCTGGTCAGATGAGACCAAAATTGAACTCTTTGCATGGCATAATACACACCATGTTTGGAGTTCAAATGGCACTGCACATCACCCCAAAAACACCATACCAACAGTGAAGTTTGCAGGTGGGAACATCATGGTGCAGGGCTGTTTTTCAGCATAAGGTAAGGAAACTCTCAATTGGTTTCAAAGAAAGAAAAAAAAGCTGCTAGAATGACCCAGCCAATCGTCTGACTTGAATCCAATAGAAAAGCTATGAAAAGAACTAGAGTTCATAGAAGAGGCCCACGGAACCTTCAAGATCTGAAGACTGTGTGGAAGAATGGGCCAAAATCACACCTAAGAAATGCATGCAACTAGTTTCTCCATACAAGAGGTGTTTTGAAGTTGTCATTATCAACAAAGGATTTTGTATGAAGTATTAAATAAATTTCAGTTAGCGTATTCAATACTTTTTCCTTGTGGCATTCCATTTTAGTAACACATCCTGTTTGTTTTGGTTTCTTTGTATGTATGGATTGCATGGGTTGTTGCCCACATTTGGTGAAAATTTCATGTCAATAGCACCTTTAGAAATATATATTTACAGAGGAAAATGGTGACATACTTATTTTACCCACTGTATCAATATAAAATAAATCACAGGAATCAAAGTTCACAGACATCCTCTCATAATGCAGAGTTGAATATGCTGCAAGGGATAGAAAGCAGTCTGTCATTATAAAAATGTAACCATAAGGTTAAAAGTGTGAACAATATGTCAGATTTATTATGCATATTCAAAAGATGAATTCCAGGTATGGATATATATAAAAAAAATAAAAATGTAATGCTTTTTCTATAGTGCATAAATGTTTATAAACTGATGCTTTATATCATTTTGTATAATTTGATTGTTGTGTCCATTCTTTTTTTTTTTTACAAATATACAGTCAATGTGAGGATCTTCCATGGTACTGTTTGTAGAATGCCAGCATTAGCTCTAACCTTATTTTATTTATTTCAGGTACTTATACAGCCCCGTCAATTTACGCAGTGCTTTACATATATATTGTACATTCACATCAGTCCCTAACTCTCAAGGGGAGTACAATCTAAGGTTCTTAATACTTGCTGAATGTTCTTACAGACTAAAAATTCAAAAGACTGATAACTTGTTGTTTAAAGAATGCCATATTTTGTTCTAAAAGAATACTGAGGCAGGGCCATTTTAGATAAAAATCCTTAGTGGAATTATTTTATGGAAAACAAAATAGCAAATAAATGAATGTACCTCCAGACGTAAAGCTCATATACTTCTGGTTGTTGACAGTCTCTTTGGAATCATAAAATTTGAGGACATCTAGCACAGCCTGAGGGTTCTTCTTCTGCTCCAGTTTGGTAATGTTTGAGGTTTGCAGTAGTCTTGCCCATTGCTCTGGTATTCCCTGTGGGAGAGAAGACAGAAAATCGTTTTTGTCCCATTCTCCAACAACCAACATAACACAGTCTCTGAATACACTGGGAGAAGGTTGGATTGAGACCTTGGTTTTGCTATGAAAAAATTACATATACAGTCATTCTCTTGTAAAACACAATGCTAAAACCAGGATCCCAGATGAGGAAAAAAAAGAAAAGTACAGTAAGTTATGGTTGTGAGACAAGGAGCATGAGTCATGTTTTTAGAAAAATGTTAACTGATGTCTAAAAGATGGCAGAAAGGGTTAGCGGTGGTTATGGTACTAGAGTGCAGACAAGACAATTCATACAATGGAGTGGAATTATAAGTGTATGATCCATTTTGAAATGCATGAGGCTATGGTATAATATATATTATATTTATGAATATCTATATTTATGAAAATAATAAGTAGAGGAAAGATTAAACACATGGGCCTTATGAAAAAGTGGAGCAAAGGAATGTTAAAATATTGCCAAACAAGATATCAACATACTAGATAGCTTGATAAGCAACACCTTCACTTTTGTATGGGTTATATAAAGAAGAATCTGTACCTAAATATAGGATTTCCTATGAGCAGAAATTCAACAGTTTATTTTTTTAAATGACAAGGTAAGTAATAAATAGCACTTTTGTTTTTTTTTTTCATTATTTCTTTCACGTCACTATTATGTACACTTACTACAAATATTATGTCTCTAGCAATATTGCTAATGATTTAAGAGATTTTTTTTTTTAAAATATATATAGCCATGAAGTCCATAAACAAAGTCTAATGTGCATTATGTATTTAGGTTGGTCTTGTAGAGGACAGTAAAACACCAACTGTACCAAACAAGGGTAGTTTAGTTTTACTGGGCATCAATGATCTGAATTACCCACTTATCTCCTAGATTGTGAAAGTGAAAATTCCCTGCAGTAGTTTGCATCTCTGACATCATCATTTGACTTTGCATTGGCTAAAGAAGCCAGGTAGGTCTGGCAACTGCAGTTATTGATTGCTCAAATATCAAATATCAAATAGTTATTGCTCAAATATCAGTTTTAGATGGAGTTGGCTTTTAAAGAGAAAATACAATTGAATTGAAGCTCTCTGTGCAAAATGGAACTAAACGGTATATTCTACACTGATGTCTTTTACAAGACGTATCTTAGAAACTTCCTCTACTTATACTGTGCTATGGTTCTTTCACCAGGCCTATAATACCTCAATTATTACACTGGACCTAGCCTATAATAGATATTATGGTTAATTCCACTCTAACCTAACAACCCATTTTGGTGCATAATAGATCCTATTGTCTCTGTAATGGTAAAAATCTCTCCTACCAACACTACCAATTCTACCCCCACTATGAACATTATAAGCATGTCATACTGGTAAAACTATTTTTGAATATGTTCTATTTTCCAGTACAGATTATCTACAGGGCAACCTCTCTCCTTACTTGATTTTGTAATTATTTCAGTTGGAATTTGTTTAGCTAGGGGCTACAAAAAGGAAATCTTGCCATCAGACCCTTTATGGAACATTATTCAAGATCAGGAATTAAACTGGCTAAACCTAGCCTTTAGGTTTAATGGGAACAGCTATCAATACATCAGGAGAATCCAGCACTCTTAAAGTGTTACTAAACCCACAACAGTAAAATCAGTCTGTATATGCAGTAAAGCATGCTTGTTATACTCACTGTGGAACCTAAGGGGTTAATCCTCTACATTGTGTAAAAAGGCTGTTTGATGTTTTCTTCTTTGCCCCTCCTCTTGTTCAAATGTGCACGCTAAGACAGACTGAACCGTGCCCTTCTGCACATGCTGAGTTTAGTATGTAGTGCTAGGGAGGTTTTATTTTTCTTGGGAGAGTGCATGTGATCAGCACAGGGCCAATCAACACTGTCCAGACAGAGATCAGGGGATTTCCATCCTCCTAAAGAAAACTCCTCCTACAAGGTTTAACCAGTGCTCAGCTGAAGTCACAAGACTGCTCTAACTGCTGATGAGAAAAGGTATTCAGCAGTTTATAGTTACTAAAATCATTACATTTCCATGTTCTGTGTACTGTGGGAGACCAGATATAGTGAATACGGGGTCCGGGGTTAAGTAACGCTTTAATTCATAAATCTAGTCTACCCAAATCTAAAATATTTCAGTTTTTGGTCAATTCAGGAGAGTCGAATTACACATTTAAATACTTGTGACAAAGGTGGTGAGATCTTTGCGCTTACGTTTTTAGATATGTGAACTTGCCAATGAAACAAGAGGATCCAACACATCCAGTAGGACTGAAAACTATGTTAACACAGAATTTAGCAGGAGGGCAAAGCACATGCAGAGGTCGCTGGAAACAATTAAAACTCCATGGTGGACAGGACTAGAACCAGGAACTAGGGAATAGAGATTTCACAGCTGGAGACCACCATCCAAGTGGGGGTATTATCCTATGGGGTTGATTTACTAAAGGCCAATAGGCTGTGCACTGCAAGTACACTGAAAGTGCAGTTGCTCTAGATCTAAAGGGAAACAAGCAAGGAAAATAAAAAAAAATAGCATTTTTGCTTGCGCGCGAAAGAAATCAGCAGAGCTTCTCCTCATTTCAGAGCTTTCCCTCGGATATAAAGCAACTGCACTTGCGATGCACAGTATATTTACCTTTAGTAAATCAACCCCTATGTGTATACAAAATAATCAATTACACAGTAAACTGCAGTTATAAAAAGAGAAATGCCTGTTGATGGACTTTAATGTCAGTGGCCAAGCTTGAACTCTATGGGTAAGAGCTACGATAAGCTGGTCAATGACATGTAGTGAAGTTTTAGGTCACTGTCATTATGTTACAATAAGTAATTTAGTCAGTTATATCAGTTAGAAAATCACTCATGATCACTCAGACACTTAGAGACCTTAACTATTTTTAAAGCTCTCCCAGTTTGTGGATCTGACTGAGACAACCCATGCACCCTTTATAGGTCTATACATTTCATTGATATTGAATAAAATAACAAAACAAGAAAAACAAAAATCTAAAATCAACAGGCTTGAGAAATACAGGGAAAAAGGTAGTTTCTTCTACACTCGTCACAGCATCCTGAGTGCTGCATAAATTTAGCTAATGCCATGAGCTCTAATGTTATGCGTCTCATATCAAAATGATTGCCTATTTCAATTCGTATAGGATATATAGTATATAACCTTACATAAAAGGAATCACTGACTATCTACTTTCTCCAAGCAAATATATGATATTGATGGTCTTTTAACAAGGCATGTATGTGAAAAGAATTATGTGCACCGGTCTGTAATGCCTTTTGATAGAAATGCAATATTGCGCAAAAAAGTATTTAAAAAATGCATGAAATGTACTTCTTTTTCCAAAAACTGTAAATATCCATAGCATAATAATACCCTGGCCCATATGACCAACTAACACATCTGGGGTTGCTCACTGGAAAAGTGTATTTAGTTTTCTTTAGTTTACTTTCACGAAGACTCCATTTTCCTTTTTAAACAACTTTTAAATGCATTATGCATCTTTACATAAGGCAAAGTTAAAAAGAGACACACAAATCCCAATAAGGCTCCATGCACACTGGGCTTAAAAAAAAAAAACGCCCGTTTCCTTGGCAGAAAAAAAAAATGCTGATATAGAGCGTTTTTGAACACAGTTTGGACGAGTTTAGGAGAGCTAAGAGGTTTTTCTGCCATAAAGTTCCAATCAAAAATGCAAACCAGAAGGTTTTTTTTTCCTGTGCCTCTAATCTTTGAGCTTAAAATGTGCCTCTAATCGTCCTAATGTGCATGGACACATAGGATAACATTGAGCTGCTTCTACAGGAAACACAAAACTCTTGTAGAAGCAGCAATTTTTAAGCCAGTGTACATGGAGCTTTAAAGTATATAACGGATGAGGAAACAAGTTTAACTGGCACCACTAGTAAGACTTCTGACAACATGATAGAATTTAATCACTGTGAGGCATTCTGTTAATGGCAGATGTGTGTGTCACAATCTCCCTGGCTCCAATCACAGAACACCCTGCGTTCAGTGAAAAGAATGCAAAACTTTTTCTGAATGGAGGCAATGCTGAATCACATCTAGAACTGTAAGTCTCAGTGATGGACATAAGGCACCAACAGGAGACTGCAGCCTGAATAAAAGTAAAAGATTTAACAAATGCAGCAGCCAGAGATGGGGTTCACTTCATTAGAAGTAACTTACTGTATTTTTTGGCCATAATTTAGCTTTATTGTTTCTGTTAAACACATCCTTTTAAAACTACAAACTTGATTATGCTACACATGGCAAATATTGTTTCTATCTGAAAAAATTCTGAAATTTTCGACTAGGCCTCTCCAGGATAAACCTACTTATACGTAGACATCCATGGAAGGCGGAGTCTAAAGCCCCACTGTAAATTGGCTTTATACATACGTTTTTGGTGAATATCAATTTAAATCCATAACGGTTTCTGTTCTGTAAGTGCAGAGACAGATTGTTACAAAGCACTTATGAAATTCTGTCTTTCCTATATATTAACCTGATCAGTTCCATAGTATTAAAGAAAAAGATGAACACCCAGCATGTTATTTTGCAATGGATAAAGTGCAACAGGCCTAACAACACTGGTAGGAATGCTATAATCAATGATGCAGGCTGGCTATAATTTACTTAAGGCTCTTTGTAGTTTTTATGGGAGGCCCAGGGAGCCAATAACAAAAGAAAGGGGAGGAAGGTTTAAAGAAAATATTGTTCAAAAAGATTGAATACTCCTGTGTCAGTGGCAAGACAAGATTATCTGGTCATAGAAAAGCACGGCTGGCTGTAGGTTGAAAAGGGAATGCAATGCATTAGAGTGGCCCTTATATTAAATTGAAAGGGCGCACTATTGAGTAGCACACTAGCATTTTTAGCATCATTCATTTCTTTGCTAGCAGAGAAAGGAATGCAAAGATGACAGCACTAGCTTATCTCTGGGGAAACAGTAGTTAA